AATTAAAGCTAATGACTTGTAAAAATAACAGAAAATTCACGTAGAGAAATAAAAAAAACCACAGATAAGTCTCCATGTTCTCAGATACAAACACAACAGATGCATTTACACGCAGATGAGTTATTTTTTTTTTAGTTTTGCTTTGTTGTTTTCTGCATTCGTCTCTCTCTCTCTCTATCTCTCTCGCTACACAGGTCAAAATGCAGTAAACACAACGGATTTGTTGTTGTTGCTGTTATTCAGTGGAAATGGATACAGTTAAAGCGGCTGGAAGTCTGCATTTGACGGGTGTGCAACTTCAGCCAACTGGCAAAAGGCTAACGACTGACTGCGCCAAGTTTATCAGCTGCACCAGCAGGCAGCCAACAACCAATTTAACAAGTCGAAAGTGAGTCTCATAATGCCAACTGATGGCCGAATGAATACCCTACATCAAATATATATGCAAGTTTTTACATATACTAAACAAAATCTAATCTATCAAAACATTTTACAAGAAGTCTAATTGTTCCTTAAAGATGCCATAAAAAGATTGCAACTGACCCAAGACACCCAAGCAACAACTGTTCACAGGGTACACGAACAGTTGCATGGAACAGACGCCAGTCTGCAGATCAAGTGAGCGGTGTGACTGCGTGCGTGTATGTGTGTGTATTATTGGGGAACGGTTGTACAACTACAACTACAACTACACTACAGAACCGAGAATCGTTCGGTTTGCATGAGTCACCGCACCTTTCGGGTGGATTTGTTGTAAGAGAAAGAGCGTAGAAACGAACAATGGATAAAAGAGACGCAAACAAGTTTCGTGGAGAGCTGATGCAACGCCGACAGCGTGACAGTTGTGTGGGTAAACGGCTTAAGAGATCGTCAGAAGCAGTTGCAAGTTACTGCCCACAATTTGTGTCAAAGGAATAGGCTGAAAAGATCTTAGCTTTGACTGCTACCGAAATTAATAAAGATCTTTACACTGAATGCCTAATGAAGTTGAGTTGCAATCAAAGAAGAATTTCTATTGAAAAGCATTTGAAAATGATCTACTTACTTACCGCCCAGAAGTAAGCAGGTTTGTAACTTGTTGCTTGCCCTATTTTGTTTTATCGTCTTGCTTCTAATCTGTAAACATAACATCTTTAACCCATTTCTGTTGCGTAAATGGATAAGAACGACAAAAATAAATAAAACTGTCATATCGTAACAGTCCCATTAAACTCAAGCAATCAGCAACATCCCAAGCGCATTTCCATAAAAAAAAAAGCAAAATACAAAACCACAAATATCACATAACCAGTTTTGCAGAGTTTTTTACGAGACAAACCAATTGACATTGTTGCAGAATGGCCAGGCAAGCAGACGACTGTTGGTTAAGATAGAAGCCAAGCTGAAGCTGTCGATTGAAGTTCAAGACGACAACAACAACAGCGACAGACAAGTGGTCAACACGACGACCTACTATTTGGTCTGGCCAGAAGAGTAACAGAAATAATAAACGCAATACTTTGATGGCGCCAGGCACATCCTGAGTTCGTAACTGGAACGAAAGAGTTGATCGGGAAATGCAATCGATGCTCACAGAAAAAAAAGTAAGCGACGAAGAAAACGCGTCATGAAAACCTACTTGAGCGGAATGAAGCTCATAAGAGAAAGGGAGAAGTAGGATTTCGACAACGACAACAACAACAACAATTACGACAACAGCAATAACGAAGGCGGTCACAAAAACAGGATGCGCCTGCGCAGTAAAAACAAAACCGAAAGGTGAGCGGGAACTTCATAATGACGTTGAGTGGAGGTAGAATAAATACTCATAAGGAAAAAAAGCGAAATCAAAGAAATCAACAAATAAACATAAAAGGAAACGATTCTCAGAGCACAAGCACACACACAGAGACACGCACACAAAGAAGCGACGAGCGAGAGCGAGCGATAAGAACGGTGTACAAAGCAAACGAAATGTTTTACGGTATAGGACGGCGGGTGGGTGTTAAAAGCAGCGGCAGTGTTGGCATAATTTAAAAGCCGAAACAAGCTGTAAAAATAGCTAGATATAAAAATGAGCTCGAAAAATTCGAAATATGTTAAGCACCATATATTATATGCAACACCAAAAATAAGTAATAAATAAAATATTTTTTAAAAGAGGCTTTTAATCTTTCTCAAACACATCCTGTCAAAAAAGCCAATGGCAATATTAAAAAAAAGCTAAAGCGGCAGCACTGAACAGCAGCAGTTGTCACAGAAAGACAAAAAGAGCATAGAGAAAGGGGAATGGCAAACGATAAACGTCATCGAGCAGATTATGCTGCATAAATTATTAAATGCAAAAGACAGTGCCAAAAGGGAGCGCCGCAGTTGAGCGCACTATAAAGAGAAAGAGAGAAGGAGACGGCAAACATTACGCGCTGTAAATAATTGTAATTTACGAACGGGGCAACTGGCTCTGTACCATCTTCTACCTGAGCGGGCAAAGAGATGAGAACATGAAGTAGAAGGAGAAGAGCAAGCAGAAGAAGCATCGCAGACGGCAGCGCAATAGCAAACAAGAAGAAGAGCACGTACAAGAAATTAGCAAGCAGAAGAACTCTGTACATAGAATAATAGAAGACGCAGACAGAGGCCCAAAGTAAAAGCGAAACGTCAACGCCGGGCATAAGTGAGTAAGTATTATGATTATGAAGCTAGCCTCGACTAGCCGATCATCATAATGATGAATGGCCGGCAGCCAGTAAAATACAACAAAAAATACACTAAATATATATTTATATATACATATATATATGTGGGTAAGTATAAAAAAGGAGCCCTGTGGCAGTTGTACAAACGAAGAGTAGCACACACACACATATGCACATGTACACTAATACATACGTGTCGGCCCCATGGATATTGTACCACGCGTAACGCGTTTCTTGTAATCGTGGCCAGAATCGTAAAACGTGATCGAGTGCCTTGTGTACAATACACATTGGCCATGGGCCTTTTTTACAACTACAACTAGTTATTGTTGTTGTTGTTGCCATTGACTCAGTACACAGAAAATGGGATACAAATGAGGTATATGTGTTTCAAAGCGTTGTGGAGCAGTTAATCAAGTCAACATAAATAGATTTCAAAAATTAAAATATGGATCTCACAATAGTTACAATATAAAAGTAACTCAAAAATTAGATTTAATACAAATATATGGACTTTTTGTAGGGCATTTATACGTCGTTCCCTTTCGCCTGGAAGAGCTTTAGTTCGTTTTTGATCTTGTTTGGTTTATTTCTGTGTTTTTGGTCTGATTATTTTGTTTTTGGTTTAAGCCAACAGCTTTTTCATTAGGGAAATACATGTGCACAGCTACTACAACGACAAAAACAACAACAAGAACAACTACAACGAGAATAACAACAATAGTTTATATTTTGTCTGTTGTCTTTGTTATTGTTTTTGTAGCTGCGCGATTCAGTCTCAATTTTTTTATTCTGTTTCCTTCGTGCCTTTCTCCGCCTGCCGCCTGCTGCTGCTTGTCAACGTTGGGGTAATTTACAAGCCTGGACAGGGAAATTTACATGCAGACCCCGACAAGCAATGCTTTTTGTTGGTCCTCTATTGCATTCTCTCTCACTCTCTTTCGCTCTCTCTCTCTCCCTCTGGCTGAACTATAAGTTGTGGGTCAATGAATCAATGAATCAGTGATTCAGCGCGCGGAACTTCGTTGAACAGCTGTGCGGATATTATGATAAAAGTCAGTGAGTGTTTTTTTTAATGATGATAAGAGATAATGTTTGTAAAAGTAAATAAATTATTAATTAATTGTAAAACTTATGAAACACACGTCAAATTTATTTAAAATTTTTATTGATTGAATTGAATGGAAATTTGTTAAAAAATTGAATAAAGCTTTAAGCATAATAAAGCTATCCCATCACCCCTATCGATAGCAAGCATAATAGTTTATCAGTAACCTAAATGAGTTTTAAATGTTGTCTTCTGTTTTCTTCTTATTTATACTTACAACTAAAGATTTTATTTCTATAACTAATCTAAACATTTCTCAGCAAGCACTTTGGGAAACCAAACATTCCTTATCAAAAAAATAATAATAATACAAAATTCTTCGGGCTTATCGTAATTTCAGTTGATTTTTGTTTGTTTACCCAAATAAACATTTTCAGATAACAGTTAGTAGAAATTCTCGTTAACAATTTCTTCCTTTGCTTAGAGTCATTTCTAGCTGCGAATGTAATGCCACAGTAAATAACAAATGTCATTAATAATTTACAAAAAGCAGAAGTTTTGATTGCACATAATCTAAATGAATCCCTATAGTTATCGAGTGTTTTAAAATGAAAAATGTATTCATTTAATATTTGAAATAAAGTGAGATTCCGAAATATGTACATTACACTCATGTGAAATATTGGAAAAATAATTATTTATTCATTTTACTTTGATTTCTGCAATCCATACGAAATGCTCCTTAATTTTTTTAGATCGAACGTTTGTCATATATTTTGTATGGCTTACACAAATGCCAAAATTCTTTAAAACATGTATTTCAGATTTATATTAAAGTCATATTGAAAAAAAAGTATTAATTTGTAATTATATATTTTAAGACTTTTTTTTTAATCCGTCCAAAATGAACATATGCAAAAATTATGAACTTGTCAATTTGAGTCAAAAACTTTTGCACTGTTAGAAAGCATTTTCCAATTTTGATTTTGTAATTTTTTAAGCATAAAATTAATTAGTTTTAGCTACTATTCTGCATGGAATGCTGCCAAATGTGAACAGTGTCACTTCATAAAAACCGCATTAAATGCCTTTTTATAAACGTGCAAATCAATTAATGGCAACACGCCTCCGTAAATGCCAAACGCCCACATATGCAAAAAAAAAAAACAAAACCCATTAGCTGAGATGGGGGAAATTTAAGAATCGATCGGTGCATAATTTAGAGGCTAGAACAGTAGAACAGGTTTGACTGTTGGCAATGCTGGTCGTTCACTTACCGCTTTTGAGACGATCGTTAATTAAATCCTCAATCAGCTGCGGACACTCGCACTCGATGGCGTAGCAGAACTGTTTGAATTTCTCGAAGCCACTTTTGGCGATGATGTCGATGAGATTGGCGCACTGCAGCCGAAGTATTTCGGCGTCGCTGGGTGCGCCGACAGAGGGCGTTAGGGAGCGATTGTCGCCGCTCTGGGCGTGCTCGTGATCACCGTTAACACTTGCACTGCGCGACGAGCCCGCCAAACTAGAGCTATAATCGCCACCAACGCTGACGCTGACGCTGGCGCTGCCCCCACTGCCGCTGCCGCTGCTGCTGCTGGCGACAGCGCTCAATTTGCGTTTTGTCAATGCACCGGCGCTAGAGGGCGCTGCAGTTGTTACTGCTACTGAGGCAGCTGCTGGCTTCAGCAGAAGATCCTCCTCGGATTGGCTGAGAACGGAGTTTTTGACAAGCACCGCCAGCAGATCGGTGCTGCCCAAATCGAGCATAATCCGTTCCTGGTGACGCGAGAGCAACAAGCGCACCTCTTCCTCTTCTTCGCGCGTCATTTTGACGTTTAACGTTATTTGTTGTTGTTGTTGTTTACCTTTTGCACTTTTTTTTTCGTTGCACTTGCAAAAACACACACACACACACACTTGTTGTTTTATTTGTTGTCGTTATTCAATATGCATATTCGTATTATTATTATTGAGATTTACATATAGATTTGTATTATGTATATTGATTGTTGTTAATCGAAACGCAAAAAACACAAACGCGCGCCATTTATTGGCGCTTACGCCGTTTCTAATTCGCTGCTCCGCTCGCACAACGTTCGCTTAACAACGTCAGACAGTAACTGAAAAACCGGCTCGGCTTGAAACAGCGACGGAGTGTCTCACACAAACCTGAGAGTGAGAGCGAGCACCAGACGCCCGCACACAGCAGAGAGCCCAACACAGAGAGCACAGTGGTTCGCTGTGTACACATTTCTCTGTTAAATTTAACACTTCGTTAACAGCAGCAGTCTGTTAAGTTTTGTGATCTTGGTTGTGGTTATCAATAAGGGAATATTTTTGCCAGAGATAAAACAATTACCATGTGCATAATAATTTTGACTAAAGAAAGTTAAAAGATAACATTATGTTATTAAATTTGATATCCATTATACAAATGAAAGCCAAATGTAGAGGTTCTGTTGCTCTCCTCGAAATTAAAATAAAGAACTGAACCACTGTTCGCCGCTTATATTTTCTCTGCATTTGCTTGCAGCTGCAATTGCAAGATAACAGTGTATTTTTGTTGTTTGTGCCTGCGATGTGCTTTGTTTGTGTGTGTGTGTGTGTGTGTGTGCGTGAGTGTGAAACAACAAAATGTAATTGCATTTGATTTGCTTCTCTCACTTACTCTCTCTCTCTCTCGCTCTCTCCGTTTACGAAAAAACAAAGAAATTGCCTTTGCGCTGTTAAGCTGCATTTCTTTTGAATGTCGTAATTGAATAACGTAAATTGCATACGAGTTTGCTATGATGCAGTTTACATGGAGAAATTGTAATTACGTAGCTGTACAAGTTTGACAAGATAGTGGGAAATATTATTCAACAAATGAATTGTCAATTAATGCAATTACTGCAAATATTTAAAATATTAACTTCTTAATTGGCAAAAACTTTTCGTATAAATACACAAGAATATTGTTAAAATCAATTGGGTTAATCAACAAATCTGGAGCCAAATGGCGCTCCAATTACACGTACTAAGTACGGTTTTTTGCCTGATTAGTTTCTTTTGGACGACTAAGTAAAACGGTTGAATTGTAACAGATGTTGACTCAGGCGCAAAACAAACTGATAAGGATAATTAAAGGAAACAAGCGATTGAACTGAGAATTGCAAAAATGTAACAGTCCGGAAAGAAAAAAATCCTTAAAATAAAATATATGATAAACAGTTGGGTTCAAAATAATACTAATTTGTTTTGGAGAATGCTTAGAAAATACTTATATTGTAGTTAAAAAATTATGAAAATTTTATTTGAACACAAGCAATCAAGACTGGACATAAGTAAGCATAAAAAAGTCGGATAGCTACAAAATTATTAACAAAAAAAGTCTTTATGTGGTATACTTAGACCTATAACCTTTTTTCTCATGGCTAAAATGTAAATTAAATTAATTAGCATAAATATTTTATTTTTGGCATAAGAACTAAAAATTCCACAAGTTGAATAAAAACTTGTATTGATTATAGAAAATTAGATGAAACATATTTGCTATAATTTAATAAATAGACAAATAATTGGAACAAAAAGTTTTACACAAAACGTTAGTCAAAATTAAGATTAAGATTTTATGAAATATAATAATATGTAGAGCATGTTTATAATCTATATTTCAGATTTAAGTTTAAAAACGTATGTATATGTATACATATATACATTCGTATACCTATATACAATAAAAAGTAGCAATCTACTCCCTATTATATTATATTATATTCATAGCTGGATACTGGTAACAAGCAATTGTCACGTTCGTTTCTGCTTTTTTCGAATTTGGCACGTTTTTGACGTCTTATCGTCTATTTATTAAGTGATTTGGAAAACATAGGAAAATTGTGTTTACCTGTCAACGGCAGCGGCTGCGGCATATTCAAACAGAAACCAGTTAATTCAGTTGCGGCATTCCTGGCATTTTTTCCATGCAAATCTCTATCAAAATATCAAAACGAGAATCGGCAAATTAGCAGCTGGCCACCCACAACAAATGCCAATAACAAATTACTAATAGCAGTAGTTGCAAATATGCAGTTAGTTTCTCTAGCTGCATAATTTATGCGAAAATGCGGCCTCGCTGCCAAAGTATCGGCACTTAATTGCAATTTGAGGCGGAAAATGGCTTCAACTTCCACGCACTCTCGCAAATCTGTCAGTCAAAAGCCAAGCGAACAATGCTCAAAGTTGTATTCATATTCATATCAAAAGTCTTCAACCGCTAAGCAGAGCACTCAATACTTAAATGAGTGTTGGCAATTTTTCAGTACCAACAAAAATAAAATTTGAGTCGAAAAATGTTAAATCTTTTGTAGAAAACAACTCAAATCTAAAGTATTTTTAATGCAGTTTTTCCCTTTTTCCTTAAACTTTAGTCAAGCATTTAATTTATATCATTATTTGGTTAGTTTGTTGAAGATATATGGGATAGTTTATTTTTACTCTTATACTGTATTTAGCAAAAGTACCAAAAATAGGACAATTGTATGCCATTAATATTTTAATTATCAAAATTCTGCTATCCGCTCTGTACAATTATCTTTTTGGCTACACTTTGAGACAGCTGCATTTGACTGGAAAAAAGCCAAATTGGCATCGCATTCAAATTGATATGCAACGGGAACTGAGTGCGCGATACGCGCGCCAGTGTTATGCAAATAACGGTGAATTTGATTCTCATAAATAGTGCAGCACAAACTTAAGAGCAAAATGGTTGTTCTTGCGGGTAGTTTTCGGAATTTCATATTTGCATAACATTCAGCCTTAAAGCTTAACTTGATTTTTTTTTTTTTAAATCAAAATATGGCATTTATAGCACATGATTACATATATGAACATATATATACGAGTACTTAGAGTTGCAGACAAGGACTGTAACAGAATAAATAAAAGAACATATTTAGCTGTAAGAAAGCATAACTGGCAACACTTGACAACATATTATTATTTGTGATGTATGTACATTGTATGCAAATTGAAATATTACAGAATTAAAGCCGAGACGTATTTGTATTTGTATTTGAATTTTTTATAAAAAGATAGTTAACTTCACAAAACTAAAACTAACTATTAACTATTTTTAATCGTTAAATAGTATATTTTCTCATTGAGTCATCACAAGTAATAAACACGATGGAATCGTCTTCTCTTTTCCCTTTCTCATTCACTATGTTGAATCGAACGGGGAGAGACAGAGAGAGCGCGAGCGAGAGAAAGGTGTAGACAGATTACAGTTGCAAATACAAATCGTAAAAATCAAAGAGCAGTGATTGGGTGGGGTACAAGTTTCACATGTTCGATGTTCATGTTTTGTATTGCTTGTCACGTCTCTGCAGCTTCCTCTGCAATTAATAGAAATTTGGTCAATTTGGGGGCTTAAAGCTCTCTTCTCCTTCTGTCTCTCTCTCTTTCTCTCTCTCTCACACTCTTACACTCTCTCGCCTGCTGGCTGTCTGCGGCATTTCCTTTTTCCTGGTTCGTGAGTTAGCGAGAGATAGAGAGAGAGAGAGAGAGAGAGAGAGAGCGAAAGAGAGAGAGAGGGGTGTCTTGGTCAACCATTCATCCATCCATCCGTCAATGCTGTCTGTCGACCAATCCTCAAGAGTGCCTTGTGTCTTGTGTCTTTTGCTCACAGGTGGAAATTATTCGATAATCATCTGGGGAGTTGAGTTCGAGGCAGGCAACTTATTATTATCCGGTAGTCAATTTCGAGATTGCCGCTGCACGTGGTAATCCTCGCTGGATCTGCTTGAGTTACCGTACAATGTTTTTATTTCGTAATTACCTATTACGCGTGTATTGCTTATCTGCAGCGAATAAGAAAACAAAAAATGACAAAAAAAAAAACAACTGCGGGGCGAGGAGAAAACTCGTAAATTTTAATATGCTCATTATTTTAGACTCAAAGGTGGCAATTGCTTTTCATTAAGTTGACTTATCGCACACATTAAACGCTCTATGAAAATGAAAACCCATTTTTAATGTGCTCTATTTTCATACCTGTTATATCGAATTAAATGGGCTAAGTAAACGATATCAATACTATTACTTCTTGTCATAGTCTGCAAAGTAACTACTGTTTAGCAAATAACCATCTGCTAATAAATATATTTTTTGTCATTTCAAATATTGAGGCACCCTACTACTCTCGATGAAGATAAACAGTTAAAGCACGCATGCTGATGGACTGCAATTAACAGCTCCCACACTTGCCAAATTGCAGTGATCAATACGAATACCAATGCAAATGCACGCACAGCGAGAAACTCTCCAAAATTGACGCACATAGAAAGATGAATGGGAAAGGATAGAGACAGAGCGTGATAGAGAGAGAGAGAGAGAGGACGTGAGGCAATGCACATGGGACAGACAAATGTGCACTCATTTTCGACAAAACGATGGCGACATTCAGAAGTGAATTTAACAGCGTGCCGAACACTTACAATCACCGCCTGACGGCATTGAGAAAAAAGCTGACCACGTGTTTTCAGCAGTGGCGCCAGCAGCTTAAATTACACCAACACCAACAGCAACAGCAGAAACAACGTGGCTTTAAGCAATTCTACAACGAAAAATCAACGTATTTGCGAAAATTTCAAAAGATTTTCACAGCACGCCAGAATTTAGCGGCAGCTCAGCCCCAGCGAGTGCTCAGCAGACACATCAGCCAGGTGGAGAAGGAGGAGCAGAAGCAGGAGCAGCAGTTGCAAGTTGTGACCACGCTTTCGTCGACTTTAATATCGAAATATAGCTCCAGCATGACCATCATGGAAAACACCTATCTGGGGGTGCGTGACGAGTACCCCGACATTGATAATGAAATACGCGCCATATTGCTGGCCAATGCCCAGAATGGTATCACGATATCGAGCATCAAAAGTAAGTACAAAACACGTGAAAGTCTTCATTCTTTGTAATGGAAAACAAAACTTTTATATAAATTGAAAAAAAAAATGGTTCCAGTTGAAGCATGAGAATGAATTACGTAGAATTATGAAATCAGATATTTTATTTAAAATTTCTAAAAATCACTTGAAGAAAGCAATAATTCAGCTGCTGTGATTGAGTGTGATTGACACTAAAAGCTAAAGGAATAAAAATTTTAACACGTGTTTATAATCATGCATGGAATCACAGTATAATACTAACTCGTGGGTAATTTTAAGATAAAACCAATATCCTTTTTTTTCTCTGGTTTTATCTTTAGTCTTTATGATAAATCTACAAATTGTATAGTAAATTTTTGTCACTTACCATAAATATTTGCACTTTTAACTGGTGCCTGAATTGGTACATTTATCGCAGCTTTTAGTACAAGTTAAAAATAGTATTCAATATTTTTGTCTAGATTATTAAATATAAAAAGAGAGAATTTGTTGGAGAATTTTTACTAGCTGTTAAATCTATTGTTTTACATAATTTATAGTAAATTCTAAATATCAACAATTTACTATCAATTTTCACTCTTATTATGATTGACTTAAATTGCTACAAATTTGAAGTTGTTGGCTGCAATTATTACCAGTTTCCGTATATAAGTATCACAGCTCATTTTTGCAAGAGAGCTATTTAAATCATAAGAAAGAAATGCATTTACATAATACCAACTTTTGCTGCATGTGCAACTCTTGCAGAGGAATATCGACAATTTACGGGCACGGCATTCCCGCTGCACGACAACATCACCGATTTTCTGCTGACCATACCGCAAGTGACGGCCGAGTGCTGTGCGAGTGGCAAGCGTCTGTTCAACATCAAGCCCACGGATGGGACGCGGCATCTGCACGAGATGATACTGCAGCAGCGACAGTGCGACAGTGGCAACAATGCTGTTGCATCTGCGCAGGAGCCGCAGCCACCGCGTCTGTGGCGCTCCCAATACAAGCGGCGAGTGCCACAAAACTGCAACCTCAACTACAACCTGAACATGAGTGAGAAGCCGCCAGTTGTCAAGATGACTCAAATGCAGCACTTGGCCAACGCTGCATTGGCGCCCAGCTGTGTCTATCAGGACAACTGGAAGCATCTGTAAGTGCAACACCAGCCACACGATCTAATATCCGCTCCAGTCGGTAATCTCCCTCGGAAATGAGTCTCTTATCTTGAATTTCCATTTCAACGATTAATTTTCAGTCAAAATTAACATTTACAAAAATTGTAATTGAATTTAAAAAATCAGATCTAGAGCAGATATAGATATATAGATCGCTGCAGTATAGCAATGATATAACAGTTGCTGAAGGGAAGAGATTCGTCTTATCGAGTAATCACTGTAAAATGAATAGTAAGGCTACTGTCAAACTTAATGCAATCATGCTGGTTATTTAGTAATGGAATTGCATTTGTTTGGCATTTGGCATTCCTTTGATTAAAGTCAAATCGATTACTGTATTTTTACAGCAACAATCAATATCAGCTACCGCAGCTGGCAGCTCTGAGCAACCACAACAACAACACTAACAACAACAACAACAGCATCAGAAACAACATCTATTCCAACGCCTTGAATCCTGCACAGCTACGGGCAGCAACACTGTCACAGCAACAACTGCAACCACATCAGCAGCAGCAACAACAGCAACTTCATCATCATCCACAGCAACAACAACAGCTACAACAACAACAAGAGCAACACCAGCTGGAGGATTACACACACAAGCGACGTCATGAATTTACGCCCACGCCAACAACGTTGTCATGTCCATCGCAACATGACTCCATGTTCACCATCAACTCGGACAATGATGCATATCTGTTGGATTTCCCATTGCTGGGCGATGACTTCTTGTTGTATTTGGCGCGGATGGAGCTCAAGTGCCGTCTCAAGAAGTGTAAGTGAGAACGAGACGCGAGTCGATCGGAGAATTGAGCATAATTTGTATGTCATCCCACTCTTCCCCACAACCCTAACCCAATAGATGAAAAGGTGCTGCAGTCTGGTTTGTGCATCTCGGGGCAGACAATAAGCGCGGCACGGCAACGGCTGCGCCACGTCGAGCTGGCGGAGATGACACAAATCATTGTTAACATCGGTTCGGTGGATATAATGCGAGGCAGGCCGCTGGTGCAGATCGAGCACGATTTCCGTCAGCTAATCAAGGAGATGCACAATCGCAGATTTGTCCCAGTGCTGACCACGCTGGCACCGCTGGCCAACTATCGCCACGACAAGCACACATGCGACAAGGTGTCGCGCTTCAACAAGTTCATACGCAGCGAGGGGCGACACCTCAAAGTCATTGATATACACTCGTGCCTGGTCAACGAGAATGGCATCGTGCGATTCGATTGTTTCCAGAAGTAAGTACATATGTATATATATATATTACCTTTTGAAATGCGATATGTCTATCTATCTATCTATCTATCTATCTCTCTATCTATCTATTTATCTATCTATATCTCGCACAATTTTAGAGTTAGAGTCGCAAAGTTCAAAGGGTATATATGATTATTCAATAATCCTAATCCACAAGAAGCTTTCTTGCCTTCTTTCTTTGACATATTTTATATATTCTTGCATGAGTGAAGACAATTTTGATGAAACTCTATTTTATATCTGGCAGAGTTGTTAAGTTTTTAGTGAATAGTCAAAATGCAGCCGTAAAATAGCAAAGCAAAATTTAAACATGTTTCAGTTTCAATCAATACATTTTTGGCTTATTTATTGAATAATTTTGCATTGATTTTTGCAGCGCGCCACGTAGTGTGACGGGTTCGTCGGAGCCACATGTATTCTGGAACAAAATCGGACGGCAGCGTGTGCTGCAGATGATCGAGGAGAATGTGGAGTATTTTTATCAGAGCTGAGCTGTGCCAGAGACGAGCAAAACAATAAGAGGGGTGGATGGGAAGGGGAGGGGAGCACTGGTCTGGCACCAAGCACCAAATGAGCTTGTACAAGTTAACAATTCTATTTATTTTTTGAAAATGACGGCACGCTGCTTTTAAACCGAAATGAAATTTGGAATGTTCTAGTTTTTAATGTGTTTTATGTGTGCGTCTCGTTCTGTGTTAGTCTCTAGTTAGTTATTATATGTGATAAATATATGTTATATGTTAAATGTTCTTTTTTTGTGTTCTATGTGTTCTTTGTGTCAAAAATCGAATTATCATTTGAAATCTTTAATTTGTTGCATTTGGAATTTTCGTGTATTTCGTTTTTGCTGCTATCCCAAAAACATTTAGCGAAAATTCAATATACAACGAATTGGATTTCAATAAACAATTGTTTGCTATCAATTTAAAATCCCCAATCATTTTTCATTGGGATTTTCGCACAGAGCCCAATGGAAAATGCTTGAACATTGCAATGTTATTAATTGTATATCTTTTTCTCTGTGTTCCTCTGGCCAACTTAGCCCATGTTGATGTATTAGAATCTGTTCTACTCTGTGCTGCAGGATATCTACATACGTCGGAGCCATGTGGCTAGTTGCATCCATGAAAATGCATTTGTTTCACTTAATGCTTGGCTTGCACAGAATCAATACCGCGGTTGATTTCCTTTAAATTGTGCTTAAGCTTTATTTAAGTGAAACATTTGCACAATTTTCGTGTGTTTTCGTCTTAGCGTTTCAATATCAATATCGAAATGTACACTGCATATTCAGCATGCCAATCAATAAGTGCGTGCTTTCTTACAGTGTACGTTGTTAGTATGAGAATTTCGAATTCGTTTCCATTTGTACAAAGAAACATACTCATTTGCGTAATTATCATAATTATAAACAAATTTATTTCTTGTATCTATGTTAATGTCGTCTTGTATGCTGATGTCACCTTTTTTTTTGTATGTCCAACCATAACAAGCAATGTAAAATAAAAAAAAATGTAAAAAAATAAAAACAATGGGAAAAACTATTAAAAGACGCTTTAATATTATGTATCGAATGCGAATTGTGTTAAGATTGTTGTTGAAAATCAAAAGATGTTTAAAAATTAATTGAAACATTTCATTATTATTATAATGCATGGCATATAATTAGAAGATTCTGTCGCCTTTGGCCAAGACTTATACAAATTCTATGATTTAATAAGTTATATAAATAACTCTAACAAACTTCGGATTCCTTTGAATATTCTTTTGCATCGCTATAAATTCCTTGGAATTTTATCTTTTTTTAATGAGCAACTGCTTTGTGTCTGCTGAGAAGCAACTCAAGATCAGCTTTGTCATATTATTTCATTTTACATGTGTAATTATGACATATTCAATTATTATATATGTATTATAAGTTTAAATCTCTGCTGTTGCTTGTTCCTTGGAATTAATACTGGTAAATACTTCTATTACGAAAGTGTTTTCATTGTAAACAAAATAATCAATTGGGAAAATTAAATGCGTCACAATTCGAGACTTTGAACCAGTCAAAATATTTCTTTAAATATTAATATTAAGTGAATAACTTGGAAATAACAACGAAAATAATTCAGTACTCCAATTGGTCAATATGTAAAAGATTTCAGACACTAAGATTTTCGATTAGGGTCTTGGGGACAATCCATTTGACTCGATTAATACTGCTGATCATAGTCATGGTCCTTTCCCAATATCGCTGACCTTGAGAATGTGTAGAACAACGAATCGATCTGGTGTTTTTTGTACATGTGAAACTGCAGTTGGCGATCGCTGGTGGAACGCCAGCCACAATGCTCGCACAGGGCCGGATCAATGGTCTCCTTGTGCACCTCCATCAAATGTTGACGAAACTCGGCATATGAAGGGATGTTAATGGGAGAATCATTGCTGCCGCAACGCAAGCACAGCCAGGGGCCTACAACAAATACATTTGGATTGTCAATTGTCAATTGCCAATTTAAAATTGTCAATTTACCTGCAGTATTCTCTGCGCCAAGCGCGCTGAGTATATGTATTGCCTTGCATCCAAGGCGCCTTTCTTGCTGTTGGGATGTGCCACTCTGACTTGAAAGAACACTATCGCATGACGAACTTAATTTGAGGTTTTTTTGCAGCTGTTTCTCGTATTTTACAATCGTCTTATCGCGTTTCTCGTTTCCATTCAAAAGCATTTCGTTGGACGCATTCAAGGCGTTGACATTCTCAATGCGTTTGTCTAGCTTCAATTTAAGTTGGAATCGTTCCTCGTCCAGCTTGAAGATTGTTCAACTCAATAATAATGCTTAAGAAATTAATTCAATTAATTTTTACCTCTGAGTATTGTTCCTTCAACATTGCCAGCTCTTTGGAGTCTCCCTTAAGCAAGGCATTTTCTGCAAGTAGATTCTCCTGTTTCTGCAAAACATTTTCCAATTGTTTTTTCTGTTGTGCCTCCAACTCGGCAAGCTCGACTTTGATTGCTTTGAGCAAATTTGTCAGACTATCTATTTCCATGAGCAGTTTTTCGTTATCTGCACGCAGCTTGCGTTCAGAGTCCGAAACAGTTTGCAGCAGATGTGCTTGATCATTTTTTGCTGTGCGCTCCCTTTTTAGTTGTAATTTCAACTCATCCAGCTCTGCCTTGTTCTTATTTTGAAACCAATTAAAACAAAATTGATTGTAAGAATCCTCTTGTTGAGGCTGCATCCACCGAGTGTATTGATCATAATTCATTAGTATTATTTCCTTAAGGTATTTATGCCTTTCAAGCGATCAATTATTATGTATGAATTTTGGTTTGCTATTCTGTGGGTTATTTCATGATCAGCTGGAAATTACAATACACAGTTCCGTTATTTGGCATTAGCAGAAATTAGCAAATCGTCGAAATAATTTGCATCCGTTGCATCAAGATAAGATTATACGTAAAGTTGTAATATTTAAAGATATGATTTTTATTTTGTGTATTGTTATTGAAACTGAAAATGTATAAGATTTTAAACGGCAGAATCCAATATTGCGGCTGAAATTCAAAAAGTGCTATCGGTTATTATTTATGTTGAGTTTTTATGCGATCAATTGAACAATCGCGTATTTGATCGATATGCGTTCATATCAGGCGCTATTACAATAGCAAAGGTTTAGGTAATAGAAAAGCATGTAAAGATCTTTAGATACAAAACATTACAATCTACTAATTACTAAGCGTACAGCATATTTAATTAAGAAAAAAACGTATTTTAACGCATTTGCCTAAGTTTAAATGTTGAAATATCGATTTCAGTTATCGACTAAGCTGAATAAACAGCTGTTCAATGTGTGACCGTATTTTAATACTAAACCCTACAGCGATAACAACTATTAGATTTATATTTCAGAAGGCGAGCGAAGTGAGTCGCACTTTGTGTAGAAATAATTGCCAACAAATTTAGCTTAGTATTTGACGTATTTTAGACAAAAATGGCTTCCTTTTTGGCACGTGCAGGCGGCTGCCTCATCGAAACTGTGAAACCCGCGACTGTTGCAAAGGTGAGTCTCGTGCAACGTTGACAAATGTGCAATTTTTCACCGTACTTTTACATAATTGCAATAGAGCAACTAAATCCAACAACAACATGACAAGGTTAAAACTATGCTATGCTCGCGCTCTCTCTCACTCTCTTTGCGGTGAGCGTCAAAAAGCTCAAAGCAGCCACCTGACTTGCGGTCTTTTCGATCAATTTGTTGTTTGCATATATGTGTGTGTGTGTGTGTGTGACGCAACATTCCTATGTGTAGATTAAGTTAAGACCTTGACCACCTAGTAACTGCAAATATGCTTTTTGTTATCAGTGCGCAGCAATGTCAACTGTTGCTGCTGCCGTTGCCGAGCCCACTAATTAAAATTTTGAATCTATGCGAATTGGATTTGATTAGCATTATGATATGCCGTTATACGTCGTGACGATCTTAACTGATATCTTCGCCTGCGAATCTATATTTACCGTATTTGTTTGTGCCAGACATATTTGCTTATCTGATGCGTCATTGCTTGAATTCGTTTTGTGTTTTATCGTATTTTCTTTTCCAATCGGATTCCCGTGACTTTTCGCTAATTGGAAATTTTTGTAATGTTTGTGCCTTCTGCTTGCAGATCCTGAATTACTCGCCAATTGGACTGCAGCAAATAAGAAATCTTAATGTGCAGGAACACGTCTCATACACCCTGCTCAACGAAAGCAACATCCCAACGCCTCGGTAAGTAAATATGTATCTTTATCTATTGTATACATAACAAGTGCCAGTCCAAAGTTCAACAAAAGAGGCGACTACGCATCTCTGTGCACTTTGGCCACTATTTAATAAAAGCAAATAATGCAAGTATTGCTAAACAGAGTGACAGCCCATGAGATGACGATAAGCAGCACTGATAAGATTCAGTATAGACAATATGATTAAATGAAGCGGTTGATAATCCTTTAATCATTTTCAGTTTTTATTATACAACAAAACTTGTTGATAGTCGAATAATATTATTAAAGTGACTACTGCGTATTCAAATTAATACTTTGTATTCTTTAATTTTGTTATTAAAAAAACGAATTTTTAACAAAACGAAAGGCAGTAAAAAAAAATATTTACATATAAATAAGAAAACCACATTTAAAATTTCAGGAAAATATGATTTAACTTAAAAGCAAAATATAAAATCTCAAATTTTAGACTCTCTACGTTTGAACACCCATAAAAGAAACGAAATAATGAAAGTCATTTAATTTCAGTAATAAACAATTCCCAGTCTAGTAATCTTGAGGTAATACAAAAGTGTTTCTAATGACAACACTTATTGTATTCTAAAAAAGAGGTTTTTATTTGTTGATAACAGCTGTTGTCGCCACTTTGACGTAATTTTCAATAATTATGGTTTGTTTCTGGCTAGCTGAGTCATTCAAGTCGAGCTATCTACAAATATTACCCAAATACTGATGATTCAACTTGTATTTACAGATTTGCCGTTGCCAAGAATGGCAAGGAGGCTCATGATATTGCCCAAAACCTGAAAACAGATAATCTGGTGCTGAAGGCGCAAGTTCTTGCTGGCGGTCGCGGCAAGGGAACATTCAAGAACGGCCTGAAGGGCGGTGTGCGCGTCGTTTTCGAGTAAATCATATTCACTTTTATATATATTTCGTAAAATACTAATATTGACATTTATAACGCTCGCAGTGCCGACAGCGCTGAGCAATATTCATCCAAGATGATTGATCAGCTGCTGGTGACCAAGCAAACTGGCGCCGCTGGTCGCATCTGTAAGAAGGTGATGGTTGCCGAGCGCAAATTCCCACGTCGTGAGTTCTACTTTGCCGTCATGATGGAGCGCGCCTTCAACGTAAGTTTAAAATACTTGATTACTCAATGATTATACTCATTAATTAAATAATTCACCTACGCTTAGGGTCCGGTTTTGATTGCATCCAAGGAGGGCGGCGTTGACATTGAGGAAGTTGCCAAGGAAAATCCCGATGCCATTCTTTATGAGCCCATCGACATTGTCGAGGGTCTTACCAAGGAGCAGGCCTGCAGAATGATTGAAAAGGTCGGACTGGGTGGAGCCGGTGCTGATGAGCATATCGAAATGCTGATGAATCTGTACAAACTGTTTGTGAAGAAAGATGCGCTCTTGGTTGAAATCAATCCCTATGCCGAAGATGCCATGACCGGCTGTAAGTTGATTTCCTTTCTTTATTAATATCATGTGTGCTGTGTCCGCTAACAACTAACCCATTCCTCATCTATATTTAAACTCATTGAATTTGCATCTTGCGTGAAAACTCTAACGATGTTAACCCACAAAGGCTGTAAGTATTATTCGAAATGCTTGGTAGCTAGATTTTAAATGACAATCAATAGACAGAAACCTTCTTTAGCATGTTTTGTAGCATTAAGGTATTAAATCAAAAGTAATAATTTAATCCTCAATATTTCGTGTAACTAAAAATTGTATTGTGTATTGCTTTCGATGTGAATATTATAACTAATGCATTCTATTGCCAATTGCAGTCTTTGCCCTTGATGCCAAATTGCGTTTCGATGACAATGCCGAGTTCCGGCAGAAGGAACTGTTTTGCATGCGCGACTGGACTCAGGAAGATCCCAAGGAGGTCGAGGCGGCCAAATACAATTTGAATTACATTGCCCTGGATGGTACCATTGGTTGCATGGTTAACGGTGCTGGTCTGGCCATGGCCACCATGGATATTATCAAGTTGTACGGCGGTGAGCCAGCCAATTTCCTTGACGTCGGCGGTGGCGCCACGGCAGAAGCCGTCAAAGCTGCATTCAAGATTATTACATCGGACAAGAAAGTCATGTGCTTGTTGGTCAACATTTTCGGTGGCATTATGCGCTGCGATGTCATTGCCGAGGGCATCATTGCTGCCGCAAAGGACTTGAACCTGAATTTGCCAATCGTTGTGCGTTTGCAGGTGAGTTTTCTACACTGTGGCTTCAGATTGCTTTCCAATGTGCTGATCCTTTGTATGTATTTGGCAACAGGGCACCAAGGTGAAGGAGGCTCGCGAGCTGATACGTTCATCGGGCTTGAAGATCTTGGCGCGCGATGATTTGGACAAGGCTGCTGATATGGCCGTGCATTTGGCACAGATTGTTTCGCTGGCGCGCGAAATGAACATGGATGTTAACTTTGAGATTCCCGATGCACAGAAGTAGATCGAAACCAATTAACGGCTAAGTCAACCATAAAGCCCACGTGCAACACTAGCGACACTCACACAAATAACTAGAAGAACACACACACACTCACACAACTACTCAACAAATTAGATACAATCCACATAAACTACTATTCATCGCTTAGTAGTTAGATATATATTCGCTTTCGATTGATCGAATTAAAGGAATGCAGCAATTCTGCAAAAAAAAAAGAGAAGAAAATATAATAATCTGATGACTTATAAGATGAGGTTCAACTCAAAACTCGTCATTGTTGTGTATTTTGAACAAACCACACGCCGTACTATTAAATAATTTCGAATAATCCCGCTGAAAGTTGTTTGCACCTGTAAAGCATTGTATATGTAAAAACCAAAATATATTGTTATTTGCACGAACTCTAATATAATAGGAAACTTACAGCTGAAAGTGAAAACTAAATGCCGATCGTGATTTTTGCTAAACTCATTTAATTTATTGAACAGCACACTGCTTAAAAAGTAGTTAGACGTGTATTATGCAATTAAAATTAGTTTGCTTTTAATTAAATTTCAATACTATTACAAAACACGCTTTATCGAATTTATTTAGTTTTATAATTTGTTTTTTCGTCAACCAATTTTATGCTCACTTGTTTGCTATGTCGAATTCAAAATACCACTGCTGATTCACTTAACAAATTGTCTTTATTTTGTATAATTTAAAATATTTTTTATTACGCGTATTTAATTTGTTTTTTTCTCCATAAGTTAGAACCAACAACTAATTCATATTTATGCAGGGGGAAGGATAAATGCGAAAAGAAACCGGAAAAGAAGAATGATGACAAATGTAAAAAGAAGTAAAAATATAAGAAACTAGAATAGAAACTTCATTTATCGTCCCTTTAAAATGAATAAAGCCAAATAATATCAGAGGATAACATAATTATATACAGTTTCCAAAGAAAAGCGAGAACCAAGGAACAAAAGCAAATAGAAATTGGACGAATAACTCCGATTGAAATTGTAGATCTAAAATTGTATTGAAAAAACAAAAACAAACAAATTTGAAGTTTCTAAATTCCACAATAATCAAAATTTACTAGATATAGGCAAATTAAATTGTTATTGTGAACGCCAAAGGACGTTTAATTGATATAGTTATTTATATTCAGCTGGAATCAAAATCGATCGACTAGGGAAAGTATATGCGTCTGCTCCTGCTCTCGCCAGTCGGTGTCGCCATCTCCCAAATTGCCAGCGTATTCTAAAAGTAAAGCATCCATTGAAATTAACTACATTTTGGATTGGACATTAGCAAAAGCATACCTCTCATTATGCTTCGAATTGTCTTCATTGAGGCACCGCGCAAGTTTAGAATTTGTAGTACGCGCTGTTTAATTGTATCCGATGTGGAGCTGACCTCCAGCAGGATATAGTCGATGCGTTGCAGCGTGAATAGACCGCCAGTTAAGCGTTTTATGTAATTATTCTCCGCCTCCTCGTCTTCATCTATGCTCGCATCCTGTTCAGAGAAAAATGTATTTTCTTAACAATTGCAGTTTTAAAAGCAGTCTGGGAAAGTTGTTCTCAGATATTTGCGCTTGATTTGCTTACCTTCGGCTGCTGGTCGATTTCCCTGTCAATGGTTTCCACTTTGGCCAAATATTTGAGATGCAGCTCCAGCAGACGATCAACCTTCTCGTGATCGTTCTCAGTGAACTTGGCCAGCATGCGCTGGCGTTGAGTGCCCTTGCAATTGCGCAGCATGGACGCAATCACGGAGCACACATGCTCCTCGTGCTCGTCGATGGAGAGCAGGCGCTGCTTGTTGCGCTTGGGCGTCTTCATGAATAGCGGAAAAATGGTGCGTAGGCCAAGGATCTCAACAAATTTGTTGCAATTCTCGCGTCCATCCTGGCCGGCCATGGCATGATCGAGCACCTTGAGTGAGCCGTTGCGCGACATTTTCTTCTCACGCAGCATCAGGTTCATCAGCTGCAGGCCCTCACCATTGAGGAAACGATCGCGATTCTCGCGTGCCATCAGCGCCGAGCACATGCAATTGAACATATTGGACATGTACTCCTGCTCCTCGTTGCTGGCCGGATCGTGCCGCTTGTATACAGCTAATTGTTGCAGCAAAACATCCACACCGTCCAACGTGCCCAGCAGCAGCCGATTCTCGTTTTCCGTCTGTATCAGTATCGACAATATTTCGCTGCAGTATAATTTGTTTGGGTCAAAGGGCGATTTGCCCTTGAGCCGCTTAAGTAACCAGGCGAGCAGACCCTGTGTGGCCGCTTCGCGCACAAATTCGCCATCAATCTCCGTCAAGTTCTCCACAATGGCCAGCGTATTGTGGACTCCGTCTGCCTCCTCCTTCACCTGCTCGTTGAGACGCTCCAGATTCTGTACGAGCAATGCACAGATTTGCTCCTTGCGCAATGCCTCAATTAACGCCTCAGCGCCCTCGTTACTTTCACCCAGAATGTCCACATCGGTGACTTCCTGCAGCAGATCAACGACGGCAACGGCAATGTCTGTGTTCTGATGTGCCAGCAGCTCGAGCAGACTGTGCAGGCCGTGCAGCTCCACGAGCAGCGGATAAAGATCCGGCACTGTGGCAACTGCTTTTAGCTCTTGAATCACCGTATGCAGATCCAACTCCGAGTCCATGAATTTCTCTGCATTATCGGAGAATTTGATTCGCATCTCCTGATTCTTCAGGTTGCGTTTCTCGAACACCAGTATTAGCTTCTTAAGACCCTGTTCGTCCAGCACATCGCCTTCGGCTTCCTCGCTCTCCACATACTTCAGTATATTGAGACGCTCCTCCTCAGTTAACTCCGGATCAAACTCGAATGCGCTTCCGCTGCCCGACCCTGTAGCCGACCCCGAACTGCCTACATGCGGTTTTTTGTAGTTGGCTGTTTCTTTGGCTTCTGCAATGCGGCGCATTCGCTTGGCCTTTTCATCGCCGCCGCCGCCCCGTTTTCCAATATCGCTGGTCGCCGGTTCCGGCAGCGCGAAATCGTCGTCCTCCTCATGTGGTCGCTTTGGTGTCTGCTCGGGCTGTTTTTATTCATGTGTATGATAGACTCGTTAGTGGGTTACGCTTGCTTCTATTGCACCATACTTGCCTTGAACGCCAACAGTTCGCCAATATCCATATTCAACCAGCAAATCCAATAAACATCAACGCTTGTTGTGCAAATTGCATCGATACTATTAAGTATCGATACCACTAGTATTTAAAAATACCACAGCTGAAGATGTATATCGATACAATGTCTATCGTTATGGTTGTTGATCGGGACTTATGTTTTAAAAGCAAAGTTGTGCTGATTATCGGATTATATTGTCAATAAAAATCGATACATATTTCAGTACTTGGTTTGAATAAGTACGTGTATAAATATAGACAAAATTTTCGCTATAAAAATAGGTGTCCATATATTTGAATATGCCGCTATATCTGCAATTATACATACATATATAAACATATATATCAGCTCAGTAACGCCCCAAACCCAATTTGTAACCCTTATCGTTGATCTGCATACAAAATAAAATCAATTTATATGTTTTACATGTCGTTTTTGAATGTTATATTATAATTTAAGAAATCATAAATTAATACAAAATTAATAATTAAACTAATTGATGGGGAAGAGCACAGAGACTGGGAAAGGGTTACAAAAATACATACGTAAGACAAATAGGATAGCCAGAAGTTGAAAAGATAATCATAGAGTAACTAGCAAAAAGTACATGAGCATGTTCGCACAGAAGCACACACATCTACACACATGCATATATACTAATGTATGTGGTAGCTACATAAAATATCATTTTTGGTTTATTTGGAGTAGCTGCTCTGGGCTCCAACTCCAACTCCACACCTAATTCCAGCTGCTACCAATTGAGCAATTTAGATGCGCAGATTGGGATTTGTGTAGCGCACATATTTCAGCAGGGCATCGTTCTCCTCACAGACGAAGGACTTCTTGTGGTGGCAGGCAACATCGTGCCAGTTGACGCCATCGTTGTAGAACTGGTTTAACAGAGCCAAACAGTTTTCGGGTGCGCCATTCTGCTTGAATTCACGGTTATCGGGCTGGGGCAGTCCAATGCCGCCGGTGGGCGACCAATCGCCCTGGCCGCGCTCTGTGGTGGGTGCCAACTTCTGCAGTGTGGCGGTCCAGAACCAGCCGTTGATGTTCGTCGGCTGCAGATCGGGACGTTCACAGCCCTTAAAGTCGCACAGACGACCACTGGTCCAGATGTATTTCACCTGCAAATACATCATTTTGTATGAGTACATTTTATGTAAAATGTAAATAAATTAAATAATAAAAAAGTGTAAGAATCTTACGTATTATTGAAAATTTAATTTTAAGTGTTCCTTTTTTTATTTTAAAGCTTTTCATTTGTAAGCTAATTTATCTATCTATCTAAATTTTTACTAGTTCAAGTTCATTGCACTTGCAGTTTGGCTTAAAATTCCGTTGGCTCGTTTGTTGTACGCATGAAAATGCGTTGGCACCGATTACAGCTATTAGAAATTTTAGCTTTGGCATTTGGTGATTTCCCGATTTTAGGTTTGGGCCGCACACGCCCAATAACAAAAGGCAGCCAGACAGCCGGGCAGCCACTATTATGGTATCATTGAAAGCGAACTCATTCGAAGTCGCGCCCTTTGTGGCCGCACCCGTTCCAGCGTCGATGTTTGCGTGGTGCGGCTGTCTACATTTCAAGAGAGCCACGGGTGGTGGCAGAGGCAGCGGCAGTGACAGCAACCACAATGCTCATCAGTCACTTTCACCCGAGTGGCCATAAAACTGTTTATTTTATATGTACATATATATAGTATATATACATATCGGTATACACACGTACCGTATACCTGTCGTCAGCCGAGTGCTTAATGCTGCCCTTTGGATGACTCCAATGAGCGGAAAGTTGAAACTGAATGGACATTGCATTGTTTTCTTTTGTTTAGCTGCGGCCCAGCATTGTAATTGTTAAAGGTTCAATCAATCAATTGCAGCATTGCGGAAGTGAACAGGTGCACTTGCTTCACTTTGGTATTTGTGTGACGGGAAATGTTTTTGTCTCTTTGATCTGATATAAAGTAAAAGTGGAGCGCTCACGATAAATGCGCATGATATGAGACAGCTTAAGGCTCTTAAGCTTATCGGCGCATACGTAGGTAGGTCGGCAAAATGGCTCAAAAGAAAAGCAATAAAATGAAAGTCCATACGGTGTTTCCAATTGAGAGAATGGAAATTTGTTTAAAGAACTTTCTCAAACAAATAAAAGTATTGTGATCATCATTTATTGAGATTTTAAAAGCTAAAGCTTGATAAGGCTTAAGACTACCGCTTATTTCCATTTAATGGCAGTAATGTGGTGAGTCTTTAGACTAACTATCATTCAACCAAAAATCATTCCACAAGTACAATGATATACATTGCAGAAAGTTCGTTGCCTAAGTCTTTTGTTTGGCATTGGCACTGATTCGTCTGGAAGCATTGCAACCGCAAAAACGCTTCCTCGTTTCTGTAGACAAGTTTGCGCCGTTAGCTAAAGACAGACACACACACACACACACACAGACACACACACACACACATGCATTATTGATTGTTTTTCTCACTTTTGTGCATATATTTTATTTCCTTTGGTGTTTCCTCACACCCAACTTTCGTTTCCATTATCAGTTTTTCTCACGTAATTCACACGGAGACCGTTAGATGCTGCCGGCCACTGGTCAGCAGACAGTTGCAGACAACTCTTTAACTTGACACTTGTCTGTCTTTCAGTTGCATAAGCAACGAATCGCGCGCAAAATGTAATCACAGCAACAGCAACAAAAGCAAAAACAAAATTGCAAAAAAAAATTCAAAAATTTAATTCGTTGTAAATATGGAGTCTGCGAAAGTTTTTGTTTGGCTTTACATTGAACTTGAGTGAATATAAATCAATGAGATCAATATCCCACATCTATATTGAAATCTGACCAATAAGCCATTCAATTTGTATTGGGGCCATTAACGTGGTCACTTCATAATTCGATTATCTTTGGCACACTTTCGACAACATTTCGAGTTGTCATAAGTTCACAGAAAAAGTTATTTCAGTTTTGCCGCTGTTATCCCACACTTCGTCAAAACAGATATGACATAATCTCAACAATAGGCTTTAACTAACATTTACACGCTTGCGGCAAACATCATAAATTATTACCAATTGCTTTGACTTGTGTTGTGGTGCTTTTTGTCGAATCTTTTTTACTTATCAATAAAGAGACGAAATCTTTTCTTTTTTGATATGCCGCTTGTTTTGAGAAGTGTAGTATACATTTGTATGTATATCAATTGATACAACAATGACCTGCATGCATACATATTTTTTGTTGATTTTATTGAATTTTTATGATTTGTTTGACTGGTCAAAATAAGCTTAACAGGTACACTGATAATTCAAAAAATTAACATGTGAAGCAGCACTCAAGTTTGTTGCTCAAGTCTTTTGTATTCTTTAGACCCTATTTTTATAATGCGTAAAACTTACATTTTCGCCCACGACGCGTTGTTTGATCCATTCATTCTCCAGACTGGTCTCCAGCGAAACGGAGTCCATGCAACGTCTGCGGCAATAATTTCTGGCACTCAGCCAATCCTCCTCCACGCCCTTCAATTGTGGGTCACGCCACGAGAAGAAGTAGCTAAATGGTTAAGCGAGATGTAAGTGTGATTATTGCCAATTCTGCTTAAATACCTCTTCGGGCACTTAGTGACTATTTATTAGTGTTGAACGAAGTGATTAACTCACCCTTTGCCATCGGGTGTCTTCTCGTGAATTATGCGCTGGGCACACAGCTGCGGATTTGGTGGCTCCAGACGTCCATTTTGGAATTGCGCCGTGCCCAGGCTGAGCAGACCGAACAAACAAACACCGGCGACAATAAACGCTTTCATTTTTCTGGATGTCTTTCAAATATTTCTCTTGCACTCACACCCACACACTTTCGTTTCTCTTAGTTGTCTTTTTTCTTTCAACAATTTATCGAAATTGTTCGCGACAAGAAAACCAACGACCGACCGATCGACTATAGGCAACTGCAATGACACAAATTTTTTGGTAACACCCGGTCTTATATATGAGCGACTGCCACTTCGGCTCGTAGTTCGGCTTGGACTTCGACTCTCGGTTTTTGTGCGGGTTTTTCATATACCATGAAAATTTTTGGAGCTGCTTCACTAACGATGCTGAATTTTAAGTGCCCGTCTGGTTGCTGGTTACTGGTTACTGGTTACCTGTCGATTGCATTGACAAACATTTTCGGCCTCACTTGTCTCTGTAGGGCATTGTAAGTACTTACTAACTGGGTCCATCCATAATAGATGCGTTCGGCGCCCATCATTTTGCAGCACTTAGTAGTGCGAATACCCGCCTTGGCCATTTTACGTTATTTACTTGAAGCCCCCGGGCATCAGGCTATATAATTAGCTATACAAACAAGCAACGACCACGTCTCAAATATCATCAAACGAATGACAATTTCGTGTATACATCTACAGATTTACATACAAATATATGCTTTAGTTTCTTTAAATTTACATAATTTAATGCATTTTAGTTTTGTTGTTCGCCAATTGTATTTGTTTCAAATAAATATTTAACATCGGTGTGGCAGGCATGTATTTCTCTGGTTCGTGTACTCTATTTTTGCGCCTTGCCGTTTTGACCATTGCATAACCCAAATTTTTGTTCAAATTGATTTGGCCGAGAGTCACAGGTGACACATTTCGCATTCAGTCTTTACCTCGAGTGCCAAGCTTTGAAATTTCATTTTCAATTAGGAAGTCGGCTGGTAAATAGTTGTATTATTTATGGACATCGATGAGTGTTGCAGTAATGTTTACAGCAGAGAGAGATCGATTGAAGTAAATCATAATATTAATATCCAACTCGAGTGGCTAAGATGTAAAGAAAGTAGAAATAAATTTGGAAATAATGATAATAATTTTCTTTTCTTTTGGATCCCCAATTAATATTTTTTTAATTTTTAAATTCGTTATTTGGTATTACAATAAATTACTTTTAATTTGACTTTTTAAATAATTATAATGCATTTTATTTATGATATTGGTTTTAATACACAGTTTGCTACAATTCATGTGAAAATCGAAGAGAAAATCTGTTGAAATTAGAGATCAACAATTTTAAAATGAATTCCATATTGAACATTTTAAAACTCCAAAATAAAAACGGATTTTTATAATTCGTATGTAAATTAGACTTAAGTATCTTAAGAAGGTCAAAGTTAATTCGTTTGTTTTAGATAACTGCATACTTTGGCTTAATAGAACCGACTTGAAACTCATAAGATATAACGAATCTTAAATACCCTTCCAAAGCATAATAAAACATCTGTCTTCATACATGCAACTATTGATAATAGCTAACAAAAGTGATAATGAATAAAAGTGAATATTCATGGAGATAATGAGGAAATCAATACAAATTAAAAATGAATTACAGAAAAGTAAAAATACCACGAAATAATATTTGGACGACATGCATTTATCCCAAAACAATTCAAAATATGTCGAAGACACACATAAGCCAATATAACATTGTTAGGCAAGACAATTCCCACTATATATTTTGATTTTTGGCACTCTCAACATTAACTGTGTCGGGTAACAATCGATAAGATTTCAGGGCAGTGACTGATGGTAATACACACGCCCCCATTCGATTTAAGTTAACGGCAAACAAGTGCTTAACCCATTACATAACGCATATAAACAACGAGAAGATTTACATATTTATGTGTGTACGTGATATTGCATAAGCGTTAAATTAAATGACGCAGGCAACTCAATTCTGCTCAGAGTCCCCGTCAAGCCTGGCCTCATAACTGGCCCAAGTCGCGTCTCCATTTCCCATCTCAGTCGCCAGCCGCAGATCAAGGTCAGTGTGGCGCAAAGAAAATAACAACAGCAGCGAGTACATCAATGGCGAAATTTCACCAGCCAAAACCAAATTTAAGACCCAGACCCTGCCCGGCTGAGACCATCGTATTATTTTTGTTGTCGCTCGCATTCACGTATTTCAGCACAACGAAAAAAAAGCAGATACATTTTTTCTCGTCTTCTGTGCTTTTGGCCATTTTAACATGTTTAGTGATCACGTGCGGTGAAGCATGCAGTCGCTTGATCGCCCCTATTTGCCGTGCACATATACCTGATGATCCCATGTATCTGCTTTGTAGATCTGACAACCCAGTTATACAGTCAGCGTTGTCAAAAACTGTCAGGTGCTCGTCAAACATCTCGTACATCTCGGCATTAACGGATAATACCGCTGCAAATGCCTCGCCCAACTTTATGCGTGTTTACGAGTGTTCCATTTTTATGTACACAGCATCAAAAGATATAACATAACATAAAACTCGAATTTTGTTTTTACATCTCGATAACTGACATTTTTTGGGGAAGTAACAAAAAATGAATTGCAAAAAGAAAGAGAGTTTCCCAATCTAAGAAAGCGGTTATATAAAATAATGCAAACTATTTTTTTTTAAAGATTATGAACAGTTTTTGTACTAGAAAGCTGATTATATTCGATAATTAATTAATCTTAATGTTTAAATTCTAAGCCGGTTTTATTATCTAATTAAATTTGAGACAATCAAACTTCCCTTAAGAGTATCTGCATATTTTATACAAAAGTACACTTAATATTTTGTTGCTCATAAAATGTAATCTGTATTTATTAAGAAACATTACATTTTTATAATGTATTTAAATAATACATGCAATAGCCTAGCTTGAGCAAGTTGTTTTCCAAAACAGCTGACCGAATTTTCGATATCATAATTTGAATGCTCTATGATTTCAATTGACTCTCTTCTTTGTGTAAGAACTAGAAAAAAAATAAAAATATTTCAGTACACTTGCCATATTTTTAAAGTAATATTTATTTCCAATTGATTTTTCGAATTCGTACTCCAAGAATTATCTTCGAATCAAATTTATTATGAACATCTTTAACTGAATTGAAATTTGGATTAAATTCTATAAAACATTCTCAGCAAATATAAATTTGGTATGTATATATAAACAGTAAGTTGAAAAGGGTATTAATAATTTGCAATGTTTATGTCAATACTTTTGTTGTGCAGTCTTTAGTAGTTTTTTGCCATTAGGCCGATCAGCAAGGTTCAAGATTACTCACAATCAACTTAATTACTTGATCTCTTTTTAATTGCTCGCTTGGGTCAGACAAATAGTTATTGTTGATGTCTTGTAACTACCAAAAGATACAAATCTACTGTGCATAAAAATTGTAGGTTTGACATAAAACATTTACCCTTATGGCATTCAATTTGCTGTAACAGGGAGTATTTCATGTCCGATTGTGATAAGGAACTGAGACCAAATGGCAGTGATACTTCACATCAGATTGAGAGGCTGGGACACGTCTGTTTACTTATTAAAAAATTACCTCATATTTATGCAATGTGCCCACGGACTGTCGTCCGGCCGCTCACACGGGCCAATTTACCAATGTGTTGGGTAAATGTAAATATGTACTTATTGAGGGAGAAAGTGACGCCGTTACGTTGTTTTATATTTATGTTTATAGTTTTTCGTATATTGAAAATATTTTTTTGCACAGCTCGTATATTGTTTAATTATGAATATCTGTGTGTGTGTCTCTGTGTGTGTGTGCTGCCAAGTATTTGCACAAAAGAGAGTATGACAGGTGCAGCCGACCTATTTCCATGGGTGTGAATAGATTGAGTCAATATTTGAAGAAATGGGCTGGGGCGCTTAATATTTCTCACAACAGGTGAAATTATTATGTAAAATTGAACACCCCTTTGGAACTTGGAGTTCCCTCAATTGGCTTGTCTGTTTGGCCAACTCATGTTTGGCCGTCAATGTCACATTTTTGACTGCTGTCCGGAATGGGACATGGAAGCAACAACAACAACAACAATAGCAGTAGCGATTACTTATTATTTATGTCAGCGACTTATGCCTATATAGATATAATAATTAAAGTTGGCTTTATGTTCACACCGTGATTGGATTTTAAATATATACTTATATTTATATAGTTGAATCGGAACTTATAATGTTTATTCTGGCTCTTCTATGAACATCATTGAGCTTATGACTTTGGAATTTTAGACTTTAAACATGTGCTTAGGTTTATATAGTTGAATCGGAACTTTTAATATTTATTTTGGCTCTTCTATAAACATCATTGAGCTTATGATAATTTTCGATTTTAGGAACGCACACAAACTAGGTTGGCACGTGACCAATAACCTTAGACATACAAAAAATACTTGAAATTATAAACAAATTTTGGTGATATTTGTTTTTTTATTTAGCTTAACCAAGTCAAAATGTTTGTATTAAAGATTATGTGATTGTCACAGAAAAGAACGATTCGGAGGAAGAAGCGATTAAATTGCGAGAAAAGATTTAAATAATTATTTTTTTAATTAAGCTCATACGGTACTCGATTGCTCTATATTTCGATAGTAGGAATAATATCGATCATAAAAAATTGATTAAATTGTAATTTTTGAAGTTAATTTATTGCATTCTTTTCTATTTGTAAATTAATAGAACTTTAACTTTTGAAATATTTTATTGCGTATGGAATGTAATTATTATTTTGTAGTTCAAATTTTATTGATTTTCAAGACTTTTAACCACTGCAAATAGTCTATATTAAATAAATTAAATATATTAATATATAAATATTCAAACTATTTATATATATTTTTTATTATTTTGTTTTCAATTTATGTATATAATTGGAAGTGTTTTACCCGCTAACACATTTGGATTTGGAGGCCAAGGCTGCATTTTTGTATATGTCAGTGGCAGCGACGCTACTGAACTTTTTGGCACCTGACCAGATCCCAACCGCGGGCGCCACCGACACAACAAATATTTACGCACAATACTGTACATCTGTATACATACGCTGTAGTAATATGCTTGGTATGCATAATAATGCCTATTGCTTTCATAAACATAAATAAAAATATTTTAAGCAAGGGCTATTGAAGTGCCTTCTTACGCCCAAAAATTTTGTAACATCTTCATATTCATAGGCTTAGTCAGCAATCGAATTGTGCTTTTTTTTGAAAGGTGTCGCTCATTGCGGACATGGACATGGACATCAACGTTTATATCAGTCCAAATTCGAACTATAATTGCATTTCAAATAGGTGTCCGTTGCTGGCCTTGTGGCGGCACAATGCGCCTTGGCGCACGTGATATTTTATGCGCTGGATAAATTTATGAGATTTTCAGTATGCTGCGACGCATGCAAGTGCCCATTAATTGCACTTTTCAGAAAATGCAGTATTAATAAATCGCAAAAGGTGTGAGCTGTGAATAATACTATGTATTTTTAACCAAGTTTTACTTATCTCTAAATAACATTGATACCATTTAAATTCAAGCAGCACCACATTGAGAGACTTGCTTAAGCTGACTGCTCTGACACTTCCCCACTTGAATAAATCTCACCATCAACAGGCAGAGAAATCAGCCGACCGCCACAAACTATTGATTGTCAATCGTAATTCTTTGCTATCTATGTGAAATAACAGTTACTGGCTGACTATATATATTATTTTATTGTGCAAATATAATTCAATCAACTGAACTGCAGCTATGCTGATGTAGAACGTTGTTGCTTACACAATGCATGATTTGAATCTGCTGTCAAAGTAGTTAAATTAAAGCTGCAAAAGTCAAATTGAACAAAGCAGTGTAGGTGTCATTCCAGTATAATCACAGGTAGCTTGTCAAAGTTGCAAGTTGTGAAGTACATACTCAGAAATATTGAGCATTTTGCTGGAATTAACTCGAGAAAGAGCAACTGCAAGTATTTTCTGGATCATATAACAATTGCAATCATAAAGAAAAGACAATGGGGCGCCGCTGTTGCGTTTCTGAATGTCCATCGACGTCGCGGCTCTTTCAGCACCACGGCGTCACTTACCACTCGTTCCCAATGGACCCCGTCATACGGGCCATTTGGATCAAAAACTCGCGCACTAGTCTCGATCGACCAATTACAAAGAGTGTGCTTGTCTGTTCGCGTCACTTTCGACGGCTCGATTTTAATAACGTTCGCAATGGAAAATATTTGCTAAAGCAGCGCGTTTTTCCCACCGTCTTTCCGTGGGGCAAAATGGAACCCGCTGAGATCGAGGCGGATCAGCGTGCACTGCAACAGGCGACAGTGGATGGCGTTGGGGTCAGCGGTACCGCAAACAGTGCTACCAGCGAGGACTTGATCAGAGCAACTGTGGACCAAATTGTTGCCCAAATCCATGCCGAGACTGCCGAGCGGAATGCAGCCGCGGCCGGTGCAGCCGAGGCAGCAGCTAAAGTGGAAGCTGAAGTGCAAACAGAAGATGCTAAGGCAGTTAAAATCGAAGCAGAGACTTCGGCTGGTGCTGCTGAGAGTAAAATGGATGCAACTGTGCCAACTGTGGACGCCGTTGCTGCCGGCACAGCTGATTCCGCTAACGAAACGCTGCCAGATGCCAGCAGTGCCAATTCACCCGTGTCTGCCACACCCCCCACATATGGACCTCCCACAAACCTGACGATTGGCGCACGTCTCGAGGCGTTAAGCGCTGATGGCGCATGGCTGACCGCACGTATCGTCGAAGTCAACGATAAGGAGGAAACGCTGCTTATACGTTTCGAGCGGAACAGCAAGCTAAAAGTGTTGCCCTCGACGAACGGCAGCTACCAGGAATGGATGGGTTTCAAATCGGATCGCTTGCGTCAGCGCATCAGCTCGCGTGTGCTGCCCGTCTTTGAGCTGGAGGAGAAGTGTATGGCACGCTGGTCCGGACCTCGCAAATTTCCGGGCACCATCAAGAAGCTGCTGGGCAACGATACCTACGAGGTGCTCTTCGATGATGGCTACACGAAGAATGTGCGCGCCGTCCACATGACTAAGTTGCCGCGTCAGCTGCCCGCGGTGGGAACTGAGGCAGCCACTGAATCCCTAACCGCAGACTCAGCCAACGTTCCACTTGCAGTCGGAGTTGGAGTGAAAAGACCAAGCACTGGTCCTAGCAGCACCAATAAGAAGAGCAAGACGACACCACAGCGCAAGGACTGGCCATTACTGGATATGTCCACTTTGGATTTAGGTATGTTCACAAACCTGACAGCTTGACTTACACACAAATATAAATTGGATGTGAACGTTTGGACCAAAAGATACCCTGTACGTAGATATTTATTAGATTAATTTGCCAACTTCTGTTTGTTATCGATCCAAATGATCTACCATTGAGCGAATTATGGCAAACTTATCGGCTCAAAATACTTTATTGCACTCGGTAATCAAATTTTATCGATTTTAGGGAGATAACTATGCCTTGTCACACAAATTAATTTAATATGATCCAAGGAGTCGGAGTAGCTTATTACCTTTTGCATATTACTCACCCATTGCTTATAATGATAATATTTATATTCAAAAGAATTGTTCATTTATGTTCTTGGTCGATATATTCATTTGAGAAGGGGTGTCAATTTGGCTTTTGTTTTTGTTGATCTTTGGAGATCTTAAATATTTTAACAATATTTAGCAAATTGAGTTGAGAAAAATCTGTTTATATATTAGTCGAAGGAGTTGTTTTCCAATATTTGTAATCTGATTGATTCGAGCCTGTTGCATTTGTGCGGTTGCATTTCGATTGTCAGTGCAAAAAGAAAAGGTGAAATTTGCCTGTTTGTTTTATTGCATCCCTGGCGATAAACAGCAAAACATAAGAATGGAAAGCTCACTTCGCAGTAATTCTCGTTAGAGTTTATGTATATTGAATATAAGATTATAATTGAGTTCCCTTCATTGCTTGCAGCTGCTTTGGGACTGCCGGACATACCGCACGATGGGGAATGGACCTGTCACTGGGTAAACGATCAGCCCATTGGCACCGAAGGTTTTCTCATTGTGGGTGAGCATCAGAAGCCAACGGTAATTGTACACGACTGGCGGCTGCCGGATGGTTGGATCAAGCACATGTATCAACGCTCCAATGTGCTGGGCAAGTGGGATGTCATCCTGGTGTCGCCCAGTGGCAAACGATTTCGCTCCAAGTCCGATCTCAAGGTGTTTCTGGAGTCGCAGGGCGAGGTCTACAATCCAGATGTGTACGATTTTAGCATTCATCGTCGACGCGCCAAGGACATCAATGCCTATGTATATACACACGACTACAGTCCGCAGCAGCCGGTCAAGCCAAAACCATTGGATGTCTCCCTGGACACTACTGCAACATTGCAAGATTTGAACAGCAGCAAATTATCGACTGTCACGCCCATATCGGCAATGGGTACGCGACGCAATGCAACCGAGGAGAGTCAGTACATGGAAACACCAGTGGCCTCATTGGTGCCACCTGCGGAGCTGATGTCGCCTTCGCCACATGCCCAAGGAGTTGAGGCGCTGTCTTCCACAGCTGATGCAGCTGCATCCAGCTCTGCTCCTGGCATGGAAGAGCATGGATCCGTTGTTGTGGAAGATGGTTGCGGTGCGTTAGCTGTCTTATACAAATTTTGCGCTTATTAATTTAGCTTTTTTTTCAATTGTATTGCAGCCTTTATTGGCGGTTTGAAAATTCAAATAACCGACAATTTGTTCGTTTGCCCTCGCGACGGTTGCGGCAAAACCTTCCGAAAAGAAGATTTTCTACAAATACACATTCGTCATTACCACAAGGAACTTGCCGAGTAAGTAAAAAGAAAATAAGAAAATACATCAATGGTCGGAGATGTCTTCTTCATATAGATTTTCGTATATTTAATTTGTATTAATCATAAACTAAATTCATTTAACAGGCACGTCAGTCACTGTCCTAAGATGCAGGAGCTGGCCGTGAAGCGGACGCATCCCTCATCAATTGAGCAGAACGACCAGACGCCCAAAAATCAAATACCCAATCAGCAGTTCTTTGCCAAGCTGCATCAGCAGGACTTACAGCAATCGCGTTCCTTTCGACGTCACCCAGTGGGCACAGAAACATCGCCATCGGCTCGGGACACATCTCCTAATATTTCGCCTAGCAGTGCAGGAATACCAATCAAATTAGAATCGCCAACGACACCAGAATCTGTTTCAGCAACTGCAGCTGTTGGACCAGTGACCGGTGAAGTAGCGACACCAAGTCCACTAGAAACAAGCAAATCCGCAACACCAATCGCCACGACTTCGTCCAATCGATCCGTCAAACGTGCGCGTCCGTCATCTAGAAGACGTCAGTCAGGCTCACGTAAGAGCAGTCGTCAACGCACACAGCGTCGTCCAGTGAATTCATCCCAAAGAAGAATTCCTGCAGCGGTCGGTAATTCGAGAAACTTGCCGGTCTCGGGGGTTGATCACGATGTCACTCAACTGTCGTACACACCCATTCCGGAGGCTCGTAACGATTCCAAGAAGCGACGCATAGCTACTTCGGGAACACCGGTTGGTTCTCCTGCCAACATCGCGTTGGTGCCGAGACCATTATCCAACGATCTGGTTGACATAAATGCAGCTTTGCCGCCGCCGCCTGCACTACCATTGGCCCCCCCGACGCCGCAGTACATCAAGGAGAACGGGGAATTAATCCGCATTGTACGCATGCGGCAGGAGGAAATCATTAACTGTACTTGCTACTATGGCGATGAGGATGGCCTGATGATACAATGTGAATTATGCCTGTGTTGGCAGCACGGCCACTGTTATGGCATTTTCAAGGAGTCGGAAGTGCCGGAGAAGTATGTCTGCTATATTTGCCGCAATCCGCAGCGCATGCGCGAATCAATGCGTTTTAAGCATGATCAGGAATGGCTATTCGAGGGTAAACTGCCAGTAGCTGGCTATCACACGCCTAATCAGCAGTCGGTCAAGAAGTTCGAGCTTTTGAAGCACTCTCACACCCTGACCGGCAATTTGCTGGATGCTAAGCGTTTCATGCACTCGCTGCAGGTCAAGATCAATATAGCTCGGAATCGCTGCCACCCCAAGCTGTATCTGTGGGCCAAGAAGTGGGACGAGGATCAGACAGATGCCTCTGCCTCGCCCGTCAAGCGACCAAAGGTCGAACAGACCAATTGGCCACATGCGCCACAACCTGAGGCTGCCATCGATCCTGAGGAGTGTCAATACCGTTTAATTGAGCATGTCAAGGTACAACAATCATTATTGATGAATCGCCTTAATGACATCGAAGCTGAAATGGATGGTAAGTTTTTTTTTTTATTTTATTTAATATATAACGATTGCAATTATATTGAGTGGTTTTTATTTCTTGCAGAACTTGAGAATGAGGACTACCTGACCGATCTTAAAGACTCAAACATTTCGACAACCAAAGAAGCCATGGCCACGTTTATTAAAGAGCTAGAGATAATGAAGCGTCTTGCAAAGCTCAACAATGTGGCCAACATGAAACAGTCTCTAAAGGACCAAGAATCGGTGTCTGAAATTAATCAAGCGTAAAATACTGTGGCAGTAAATCTTATTTGAAATATAATTTAATTAATAGTTTTTTGCGGTTATGAATAAAGGCTTAAGCGCCATCTATCTTATTAATTGTTCTTCAATGACTTTCCGATACAACTGCATCATATTTGGAAAGTGTTGTTATTATATTATTAATAAAAACAAAGTATTACAGGCCGTTTCGAACAAAACGTATGTTCACGAACCAAAATGAGTAGTCATTATCGATAGTAGTTAGGCAATGTGTTAAAAATATCGATAGTATCGATGTTGGATTTGCATCTCTGCGGTTTATTCCTCTTCTTCCTCAGCAGCACATGTGCTGACTGTTTTGCGTTTTATTTTTACAAGTTATTTTAATAATTTGTAAAAATGCGCATTGAAACGTGCTACTTTTGCTCCAGCAAAATATATCCTGGCCACGGGGTACAATTTGTACGCAATGATTGCAAAGTAAGTCTAATATAGTCTCAAAGAGTATGTTTTATTTACACATGCATCTCTTCTCATATGCGTACAATGCATTCAGTGATACAGATATTAACGAATAAATATTGCTGTTTGCAGATCTTTAAGTTTTGTCGCGGGAAGTGTCACAAGGCGTTCAAGCGCAAGAAGAACCCACGCAAGGTAGGATGGACAAAGGCACATCGCAAGTGGGCTGGCAAGGAGCTGACAATCGATCCCAGTTTCGAGTTTGAGATGCGTCGCAATGTGCCAATCAAATACAGTCGCGAGACCTGGCAGAAGGCCGCTGTGGCCATCAAGAAGGTCACTGAGATCAAGGAGCGCCGCGAGAGGCACTTTGTTATGGAGCGTCTGCGCAAGGGCCGCGAGGTTGAGATTCAAATGGACGTTAAGGATGTGCAACGGAATATGTCACTTATACGTTCACCTGCCGCTGGCCTGAAGGAGCGTCGCGCAAAGGAAGAGGCCGAAGAGGCGGCGCTAATGGACGATGATCTGTCCGAAGAGAAGATCACATACGTCGATGCTCGCGAATTGGAAAAGAGACTCGAAGAGGGTCTGGGCGTGGAGGACATGGAGATGCTAGAAGCTTAAGAATTCGTACACCATTAATTTTAGTTTTAAGTTTGCTGATGATGAAAATAAATGTAGTAAAACCCGTGGCACACTTATTGAAACATCAATTTATTAAAAATAAAAATACGTTTTATGCCATCTTATTTTTCCGCACATTCCTCAGCCCGCTTCGACTGAGGAGATTCCAATTCAATCGTAACCGGACCGTCGTTTTCAATATGCACCTGCATATAAGCACCAAACTTGCCATCTGACGATCGAAATGAAGAAAGGATAAATTCATATATGGGTATAGGTAAAATATACCAAACGGATTACCTTTGATTTTGCTACTGACGTATGACTGTCGCAGACGATCTAGGAATTGATTGTATAGCTGGTTAGCCTCTTCACCTTTCATGGCCCCTGAGAAATCGGGCTTGTTGCCCTTTAGTCGATGGTAGAGTGTAAATTGTGACACGCAGAGTATATCCAGTTCCAAGTCTTTGACAGACTTTTGCCAACGTTTCCCCTCATCCTCAAACAGCCGCAATGCGAGAATCTTGCGCACGCTAAGGTGTCAATCAAAAAACCGATCTGCACGTAACTCAATGAGGTATTTACCTACAGATATTCTACATCAGTTGCCGTATCACTAGTCTTAATGCCAACCAGCACGCAGAGGCCGGGTCCAATAGAAGACACCAGTTCATCGAGCACTGATTCAGACACACATCAGGTGGTTTTTGAGCAATTTCAGGAAAAGTAAATATAATGCTTACCCGTGACTTTAGCGGCCTTAACACGTTGAATTACAGCGCGCATTAAGGATGTTGATATAAATAATATTCCTGTTACGGAAACTCTTGATTTATCTCCGATAAGCACCTGTACACAGCTGTGCAGTTATCGATAACCGCGCATTCAGCTGCTCGATTACAAACAAGCGGGTTCAATTGATTTGAATAACGATATTTAATAAACAATAAAAGTTACATAATATATAATAAGTTGATAAATACAATAAATTGACAATAATTATATACGTGTATAGTTTGGTACTTTGTGAGAAAGTCTTTTGAGCAATGTATAATAGATTTGGAAATACTTTACCAACGCGTTGGTTTTTGGAAAGATTTAAAATCAATTGTTCTACAATAAGATTATTAAAATAAAGCTACCATCATCAGAATTTATATATTGCCTGATTGAATATGTTATCACAGTGGCGTTGGCGACATTGGACTTGAATTTATGTTCAATTTCTTCTCACACAGTTTTTTAATATGAATTTGATTGGTCATCTCCGCCTGTCTCAAGATTTTCCGTATGTCTGTCAAACGCTCATTCTTGTTGGCCAGCAAATATGCCGATTTAAGTTGACCAATAAAAATATAGGACGATATGCGCAGTTCTATGTTTCCAATGCGCTTGACCAACTTGTCCAACGTCTGCTTAGTCTCCGGCTCGTTGCTATTAACAGCAGCATTGACGGCAATCGAAAGCAGCTCATCGGACTCCGAAGCGGTGCTGCTCCCATTATTGCTGGCTATGCAGTCAAGCAGACGATCCACCTCGCTCAGCCTTTCGTTTTTCGCCAAATATTTGGCAGTGGCGCCAAACACTTTCATCGGTGCCAACTTGTAGTCCTGCATAATGCTGTAAAAGAGAAAATCAGATAGTTTGGATAGACAACGACGTATTCAAACATACCCGTAGGCCAGGCCAAAGCCTTCGTCTATATTCTTGCCGCAGAGCAGCACCAGAATGCACAGCTGAATCTTGTCTGCAGCGCCATCAAATAAAGTGGGCAAAGTGCCGCGCGGCGCCTCTAATCGTATCTGTTTCAGAATTTGCAGCGTGCAAAGCGATCCGCTCACCGACGCCTGTTCTCGTTCGCACTGTGCCAGAAACTTGGCCAACTCCATTTGGCGTCGTATCGTATTGATATGACCATTCAGAGCACGTGCATCCAGTTGCATAGCAAAACAAGTTGTGCTTGCATTAAAACTCGCAACACTGACACGTCTGGAACCCGACTGTTTTTGCTCGCGCTGCAAATGATCCCACTCAGCCAGGTCCAGCTCGCTCTGCAGGTGCATGTGAGCTGAAACCAAGTGTTGAGCATTCGCATGCAGCTTCTGAAAGTTTTCGCAGTGCAGCGAATAAAACTTGACGCAAGTCATGCTCGCTCGCACCGGATCCTTGAGTAACAGCTGCAGTTGATACAGTGAATTAAGCTGCTGCTGCTGCTCCAGAAATCTGCAGGTCTGCAACAGCGGCACACGCCACGAATTTAACTGTGCATCGGTATCCAATTGCAGCAGTTCGTCAATCAGCGCAGGTAAGCGACCACCGGCCAGTGAGACATGGAATATATGTAGGATGAAAAGCTCCGCCTCCAGCTGCTGATGCAGCCAGTAGCGCAGTGCCGCACGCAGCTCATCGTGCTGCATGAGAAACTGCAGAATGTCCGTATGGCTGCCATAAGTTAGCACATAATGCAAAGATTCCTCAAAAGAGCGCGTCTGACGATTTTCCTCAGTGCCGCATTTCATTGTCGCTTCCCCATAGTGTCCCTTGGCAATGTGCTTCAGATTGGCTAGCGCATTGATCACATTAAGCGCCGGCTCTTGTAGTGGTGTCTGCACCACGTACGGCTCCCGGCGTCGCGAGAAGAGGGACGCCAACGATGTATTCGAGTTGCGGATTAGCGACGCACGCTGAAGTGTCTCTGGCTGTGGTTGTGCCTGTGGCATTGCAGCAATTAGCTGGAGTATTTCCTGTAGCAGGGCAGGTCCACGTTGTGGACGTTTCTTTGGCATGTGTGTGGGCGTGTCAGTCTGTGACACTAAGGCTGGCAAATCCTTGTCAAATATTTCCTTGTAGATGTGACTGTTCTGCTCCTCGGTCGACAAACGCGCCATGCAATGCCCAAATTTTTCACGCGCTACGCAAGAGAAAGAACAATAAAGAATAAATCAAAGCTACGCAAAAGCAGGATTGTGATTCGCTAATTCTTGATACTCTTCAGAGCTACATTATGATAACCGCTGCATGTACCAACTAAAATATTGAAAGCAATGCATACCTGCATCATAGCATCCGGCGCGCAAACAAGCCAAGCCATGGGCCGCCATTACACCAGTGGTAGCAAATCCCCATTTAAGGTGCACCTCCAGCGCTAGTTTCCAGTGCTCCGCCTCAACTAAAGCATCGGCTAATTTGCGCATACTGTGATTGTTTAATGATCCGGCTGGTATCAAGGATTCGCAGCCCTGCTGCACCACGGCCATAATGATCTCCGAGTGCTCGCGTATGTTCTCAAACTCGCCGGGCGCTCCACGAACCTTAAATACATATATTTATATATCTTATTGAGTAAATATGAATATGATTTAACTTACCTTCGCTGCCAATGCAAGACAGTTCATCATTTTGGCAACTAATTGGTAGTCTACCTCCGGATTGGGCACTATGAGCTTCTCCAGCTTGCGACAGTGGAATAGTAATAGATCCACACACTGACGCTGATCCAGATGATGCCTCAATATGGACAAACTAAGAGCCACGCTGGGCGCATGCTCGTAGCAGAACTCCTCGCGCAGCAGCTTGTCGTGGGTAATGATGCCGCTTAGACGCCACTTGTAGGAATCGGAAGGATTTGAGGGTGCACGTGCCACAATTGTCGCCGTTTCATTGACATGCAACGGTTTCTCTGCAGCGACCGGGACACAGCAATCGTTGCAGACGCGTACCTCCACATCACCATAGAGCTCTGGAATGACCATGCGCTGTGCGGAGCAGGCATAGCAGACAACGCGGCCACAGCGGCGACAATGATGTCGTCGCATCAGCATTGTAAAAGCAGAACGACGACAGCACATGCAGTGGGTGGCCTCCTCGTCGGGTGTCCACTGTTCACGCGATGGCGCCTGCTTGGGCATCTGAAAGGCGCCGCACAGCGAATCCAATGAGTTCTGCACATCTGTACCCAAGGAACCCGGCTCTGGAGCTAGTCCAGTGCGTACATTGGCAATTTGATAGTCCAATGCATTGCTGGCATAGATGCGCAGCAGCAAATCCAGGCAGTCATTGCTGATCACATGGTCCTGCTGGTACGAGTTAAAGTTCAGCAAAATAAATGCCTCCGTGTTGCTATGACCCAATTGAAATTTCAGCTTGCCGGTGCCTTTATCGGTGCTGCTGCTGCTGCTGTGAACATCGTAGGCGTGACCACGCTTCTCAAAACAATAGCCACAGGGACCCAACGGGATTCGTTGCTGCAGCTTGGCACGTGCCGGCTCCAGCAGCTTGGTGAGCAGCTCAAAGCGCGTATTCATCACCAATTGCTCTATAATCAGTAAGGGATAGTGCAGGAGTGCCCAGAAATGTTCACGCTGAGCGCTGGGCAGCTGTCGCAGCAGCTCCAGTGACAGTTGATAATTGAGATAGGGTCGCGCATTGCGTGCATGCCGCTCCAAATAGTCAACCAGCCATTGTAGCAGCGCCAGAGAACGCATCTTATCCTTGTGCGTGTCCAGAAAATTGACCAGCACCTTAGCTGGAAATAGCTCGGCAATGTGCAACAAGTGCGGATCCAATTCATCCTCGTCGCGCAACTCCAGCAGCGCATCTAAGAGGGTAAGCAGACAGACACGTTGCTGCCCAGCCGAATCCGTTAGCTGCACCATGCGGCACCATTCGTGGCACAGCTCATAGTGTCTACCTTGCAGCAGCTTCTCGAAGATCACATTCGGCGTCTGCCGGCCGAAATCATAGGCCTGTGGCCAGCTCTCGAACTGCAACAGCGCCGAGACTCTCGCATAAATCGTAATGTCCGAGAGAGTGTGCTCCAATTGGCTTCGCAGCAGCTGTGGAATGGCAATCTCCGCACCTCGATGCTGCAGTGTTCGCTCTATGAGCTCTTTGGCCAACTGACTGCTGGATATTTTGGTAAAGTGTTGCTGCAACAGTTGCGCCCGAGTGCCCAAATCGTTCATATGGGAAGCCAGTTGTATATGCTTCGGATCCTCTGCAATTAGCTCGCTAATTAAACGATCGATTCGAGTCTTGAGTTGAGTAGTAGATTCTGTAAAAAGAAACGGTTGATAAACAGTCACGATTCGTTAATTTAAGTTATTTCTAATTAAATATTTAACGCACAAGCGAATAGACACTTGATAAAGGCACATATCACAAATCAGCTAATTGGCCTAACAAGTCTTAAATGTACTTACCTCCCTGTCCACCAATGCCCAGAAGAAGAATACGAAATTGCAGTTCCTTGCTGAGATCCAACCGCTCCAGGTTCGCACTGTCCAGTTTGTAGGCATGTAGTGCAGCCATTACTGCATTTTTCTCATGCATAAGCGCAAGTGTCGCCATTTCAGGCAGCTGCATCAATTGGCGCAGACAGCTAAAGTTCAAGCCCGTCTCGGAAATGTCAGTCGGTGGAAGATCGCCCAGTTGAATTGCCTGCAGCAATTGAGCCAGCAGCTGATTGTGTTGCGCAATGTAGTTATGAATTGATTCCTGCTTCTGGACCGGCACCGAACGTGGCGATTGCTTTACTGTCCGTTCTGCGAGCTGCGGACAAATATTGAGTGCTATAACATGCACCAGATTCAGATGTAGAGCAGCCACATTGCCCTCAATCTCCAGCGGTGTGATGTTGCAATCGTAGATTAGCTCACCAATAACCTGGTAGGGATCGTGACGCAACAGCTGCGTGTTGTGATACTCCAAATTCGGATCCCGTAGCTGCAGCAGACGTGCCAGCTGTTGCATATAGCCACAGAAGCGGGTGTAGTAATTGTACCGCGATTTGAACTGTTGAAAAAGGGACGCGTGGCCACGTAGCTCCCGTGAATGCGCATAATCCATCGAGGCCTTCTGGTAAAGAGTTGTAAAGGCCGCCTCTCGCTGCAACTGCAGGGCTAGTGGCGCTGGCCTCAAAGCATAACTGTGCCGGCAGAGCAGCGCATTTAGTGCCGGTTGGCGGCCAGCGCGCTCCAGCAAACGCATACACTCGCAGAGATTCTCCATGAGGTACATGGCGCCAATTTCGCGAGGTCGTCCATCATTAGAACTATCGCCCGCGGATTGCTGTTGTTGTTGCTGTTGTTGCTGCTGCTGCTGCTGGCGGCGTATGACCAGCAGCAAATTGCAGGTAATCTCTCGATTGAAGCTGAGATTCACAATTAAATCACAGACAATTAAGGCATTTAGATTTCGCTCCTGGAACTGCTGCAGGAAACCATTTTGGGCATTTGCGCTGTGTCGCTGCAATAGGCTCCTCAACTCGGCGCTGTGCTGCAGCTTCTGTGACTGCGCGAAATTGTCGACGACGCTGATGATTTTGGATAACTCGAAGCCCTTGGCGGCCACGCTTTTGATTTGCTCCACTGTGGTGGTAGTGGTGCTGCTGCTCTTGGTATCGTTTGCCTCGCCAGTCAATTTCTCATAGTTTGCATAGATGTTGGCCAGCTTTTGTTTGATGAGCTGCTGATGCTCCATGAACTGCAGCTCGCGACTCAGTTGACTTTGTTCGAGGTGAAAGGTCTGCAAGAAGGCGAGGGTTAATTTTTATTAATTCTTGGCATGCAAAAATAAAATTAACTAAGGCATTTTGCTTAATAATTAATTTACAGATTAAAACTATTCTTAATGAGAATAATATTTATAATTCAAAATTATGCAAATATTATAAGTTTATAGCAAACACACTTTAAATACACTTGAAGTATTTTTAGAGAGAGACACTTCTTAATTTTCATATTCACACTAAGCAAATACCGCACAGCAATATATTAAATGAAAACCTACAAAAATAAGTCATTTAATAATTAATAATCGCTTTAGTGCGTAATTCTTGATGATTCATTGTATATTTTATTTAGTTTTTCGACATCAAAGTATAAAATTGAAATCAGAAAAGGGAACAGTATTGACTAACATAATAGGAACACTCATTTATATATACAAAATTGTTGGTGTCGATTGTTTGGCTCAGGTCCGTGACACATTTCCACAATGATAATCACACCCAACCACAATGATTAATCAGCTTACCTCTATGATATACTTGACATCATTGAAGTTTTTAAGCGCCAGCGCCATGATGGCCAACTGCTCCGGCGTGCTCAGCATTTTGGGTATGATGGAGCGATCTGTTGGCTGGGAAACAGCCAGTTGTGGCTCCCTGTTGCGTCGACTGCCGTGGAGCAATAACTGCTGTGCTCTCGCGCGACACTGTTCCAGTGTTGGTGCATCAGCTGATTTACTGGCAGCCGCTCCACTGAAGCTGACCGCTCGGCGCTGTCTGCGCGATTTGCGGCGCGTTAGACTAGAGGCGTGATAGGATCGTTCGCGACTCTCGTCATCGCTGGAGGCCTTCTCTCGCGCATGACTGTGCAATTGGATGAGCTGCAGCAGTTGTTCCGGTTCCAGGTTGCAGCCTGACGCAGAAGCTGTTGCTTTTGTCAGCGATTGCTCGATCTTCTGCAGAACGCTGAACTTCCAAAGCGCCTCACTGATGGCATCCACCAGGCGCTGAAAGCAACGCTGTTGCTCTTCTGTGGCATATTTAAAGTCCTGCGTGTGGAGCTTCTTGGTGACAAAGCTCTTCAGGTAACTAAATAGAGCATAGAGGACCGGTGCACGGCAGATGAAGCCATAGCGACGTTTCTGAGCACTTGGGACATTTGCTGGGCGTGGAGGTGTCGCATCATCGTCCACATACTGTTCATCGTCATCGTCATCGCCATCGCATTCCTTTGTATTCTGCAGCTGCTCCCAGCGTAGAAACACCAGCTGGAAAATATCCTGCAGGAGCGAGCAGAGTGTGCCCAGTTCACGCAGTTGACGTAACTGAGCAGAGAGCAACAAAAGCTGCTCCCTAATACTCGAGTCATGCAGTTCCAATATCACATTGTACACATGACACAACGCTGTGTAGTAGCTCCAAGTTTCTAGCTCCTCGGCGCGCACACATTTCAGTGCTGGTGTTTGCTGCTGCCACTTGTAGGCGTCCTCGATCAGTTGAACCACCTGCTCGTTATCACATTGTATGCCATGCTCATAGATCAGGGAGAGCATGCCTGGTGCACGCAGCAGTGCATCCACTTTAATGGTCTTGCAGGCGTTTCCCTCCTGCTGCTGTTGCAGAAACTTGAGCAGCACGGCGAGCCGCTGAAAATCAGCGTAAAAGAATTGCTGCACGGGTTGCACATCAGCGGGCACGGCGGCAATATCAAAGACAGCCAGTACTTGGTCCAGTTGTGCCAGCTCGTCTAGCGTTTGTGTGCCGATAGCAAATTCATTGGCCAGTCGCAATATGAGTAAATTGTTGCGCAATGTGCAATCGTGAATGCACTCAAAGTTCTTCAGCTGTTGACACACGCGTGGCACAAAGTGCTCCCGTTGACTGAGTGCCAGTTGGAGTACGAGTTGCCTTGTGGGAGCTGCATTGCTGCATAAGATTTCTTGCTGCTGTTGCTGCTTGTACAGAATCGTTTTCAGCAATTGTGAATCTTGACGTGCTAATAGAGCCAGCATTAAATGCTCATTGTTTACCCATGAGTCACTTTCAAGGCGTTCTATCAATTTTTTCTGCACGGTTGCCACCTCCAATATTTGTTGTGGAAAGTTAGCTAACACGCTGAGGAAACGTGACGTTCCTGAACTGGAGTTCAATGCGTCATCATCATCCAGCATTTGATTCAGTGCGTTGCTTACGATGCGTCCGAAGTGGAATTTGGACCGATTATATAGAATTTGCAGTATTTGCAGAGTAGGATAGGGTGAGGCTATAATCAGCGCCTGCAGGTGCTCCCAATAAGCTGGAGTGACGATTCCATCAAGACATTCAATAAAGGACTAAAATGAAAATTAAAAATCAGTAAAATGAGGTAAGACAGCTCAAAAATTGCAATATAACAATATTTTCTTTACAACTTCTTGCTTTAACACAGTCTATGAAATCGTTCAAGACAAATTAAATTTAATACATTTTTTCTTTGAATAGAAAAATATAACAACAGTAAAATCACTTCTTTGACTGAGGATCTTTAAATTACCTGTATAAATTGATTCTCTTCGATGGGCAGCAACTCGATCAGCTGTTGCAAATCCTGTTGCTTCTGCTGCTGAATTGCTGCCATTGTGAAACATTCGTTACCGACACCAGTTGCTATTGGCATACATATACTTTTTTATTTCTGTGATGTTTCTGATTTTGTGAGTTTCGATTCAAGCCGAGTTCATTGCACAGATTGGCTGCAACTGTGTCGACTGTTGACTTTAAGCTTCTAAGTATGTCTGGCAGCGAATAATTTGCTGATTGTATCTGGCTTTTGTTCGACGATCCACTTTTGTTTTGTCGTCAGCAGCAGCTGTCCTCTTGTTGTTGTTGTTTTTGCTTTTGTGATGTCGATTTCCAGCGTTGGTCCCACAACAACAAATGATAAGCGACGCCTGCATATTACTACCGAAGTCAGCGTCGAGCGGATCCAATAAAGCGCTGCTTAGAGCTCTCAATAACAATGGCCGCGATAAACAGCTCAATATAATTACATCTGTATAGACAACAAATACTATTATGAAAACATCACTCAAGTTGACTACAATTAACACAATTTGGCGACACGTTGACATTCACACAAAACGCAGCAGCTGTAATTTAACTCATATGTGGACTTCAAAAAAGTACACAAGTGTTACACAGCTGTGTAGGAGAAAGTTGGAAAGTGGGGGTTTCTCGCATTGGCACACGCATTCCACCAGGCTTCCTTTAAAACTATGTATTTAATTTCATGTCTATGTTTACGAAGTTGTCAAATCGGGTTATCTTATCGGCTTGCCGATAACTTATAAATTTCAAATATAATGAAAGACAGTTTTAACTATGTTTTATTTGCTTTTATAATTTCAGTATTTAATAAAAGTAAGATTTTGCTTGAAATTAACGAATTCGCCAACCGATATGTCGATAACATATCTTTTTATAACAGGTGCTACTTCACCGCTTCAATTCAAATTGTTGGCCTCGCTCACCAGGGGCGGCAGGTCTGCTTATAATTGGATTAGGTCTATGGCGGCTTACTTTCTGTATTTGTGCGCTTTCTCAACTAAGTAGTTGTATTTCGTCATCTTAGACTACTGTCACGAAATGGGAATTCGTTTTCAAAGTAGATTGATAAACAAATAAATCTTATTGCATATATATGAATTTAAAATATCTTTAGAGATACTCTGTGTTGGCGCCATTATTGTTGGTTGCATCGCGGCATTGTTGATTTTGGTGTCCAAGCTGCTGCAGGAAAACCTTCCAAATGTATTGGTACTTGAAAATAAGGAACTTGAGTTTGATTATATTATTGGTAAGTTGTAAGTTCAGACCTATACCCGATAGACTTGAAGTGTATTTGAATTATTTTAGTTGGTGCTGGAACAGCTGGGTCAACGCTCACATCTTTACTGACCAAGCACAGCAATGGAAGTGTGTTGCTTATCGAGGCTGGCGGCTCATTTGGCTACCTGAGCCGGATTCCACTGTTGTCCACATTTCAGCAGATGGGTCCTAACGACTGGTCCTTTCTATCGGTACCACAGAAGCACTCATCCAAGGGCTTGATTGAGCAACGTCAGTGTCTACCACGTGGCAAGGGTCTGGGCGGATCAGCCAATTTAAACTATATGCTGCATTTCGATGGATACGGCCCCGACTTTGATGCCTGGCATAAATTGCACAATTTGAGTGACTGGAGCTGGACAGATATGCGACCTTTTATGGCGGCAGCCACGCCTAAAAAAATGGATCTCTATGAAATACCACGAGACTACTCAATGTTATCTTTAGCACTTGAGGAATCGAAAGCAGAGTTTGTCGAGCAATCCTGGCAGTTTCGACGTTCTGTCTACAACATTAAGAATGGACTGCGACACTCGGTACTGCAGCAGTTTCTGTTGCCAGTGCTAAACAGCGTGAATCTTCGCCTGCTGCCAAAGACGCTGGTCAAACGCATAAAGCTTTCCTCAACCCCCAATCTGAAAGCCAGTTCCGTTTTAGTGGGCATCAAGGATGAGCAAAATAAAGAGGTGGAGTTCAATATTAAAGTTCGACGCGAGCTGCTGCTATGTGCCGGTGCCTATCAAACGCCACAACTGCTCCTAGCATCCGGCATTGGTGACAGCACACTGCTTACGCAGATGAAGCTAACCGTGCAACATCATTTGCCAATGGTGGGTCAGGGGCTGCACGATCACTTTAATGTGCCGTTGTTCGTCTCTATTGGCAGCATTGGACCCACTCTTAACCAGCGAACGTTGCTGAGTCCCATGAACCTGTTGAATTATTTGAGCCGCGGCACTGGATTCTTTGGGAATTTCGGAGTGCTAGGACAGGTTTCTGGCCATGAAGAATCGTTGCCGTTTGGGATCACTTTCTTTGGCGCTGGCGCCATCGATGAAAGTGCCTTCATGTCCATATCGAATTTTAAGCGTTCGGCATTTCGTGCGTTATTTCCACTATTTCATAATGCCACGCAGGAGGGTTTCATTGTCATTTCCAACTGTCTGCAACCCAAGAGTAGGGGCACTGTGACACTGCTGAACAAGAATATGCGCAGAAAGCCTCTAATTGATCCGAACTATCTGAGCCGCGATCAGGACGTCACATGCATCATTGCGGCAATAAGAAATGCCGTAAAGGTAACAATATTTACAGATTGCTTGATCTTAACTCAAACTGACATTTTTTTTGTAGGTGGTCCGATCCTCTGCTTTTGCTAAATTGCAACCGAAGATTCATTGGCCTAAGCTGCGAGAATGCTCCAATTTCGGACCGTTTGACAGAGATTTCGCAGAACACCAGCCCTCTGATCATTATCTTGAGTGTGTTATGCGTCACATCGGACTGGGCTCACACCATCCAGGAGGCAGTTGTGCACTTGGAAGCGTTGTCGACTCGCAGCTTAGGTACAATATTGAAATTACGTGCCATTGTAATTTTAGTTTAATTAATTTTCCATTCCAGATTAAAAGGCATTTCGAATGTGCGCGTTGTTGACGCCAGCGTTTTGCCTCGGCCCATTTCCGGTAATCCCAATACTGTGATTACAGCCATTGCTATACGTGCATCTTCTATTGTACTTAAGAGCGAGCTTCAAGATAGTCTACTTTAGTTTACTGTTGACTGTTAAAAAAACTTGTTGATAAATTGCCCTAATATGAGATGTATTTGAAATTCTGTATTGTGTTACAGTTTCTCGACTTTTGCTTTGATAATTCTCAACGGATCTACTGGTCTATCATTCTTGTCCGTTTCCACTAGGCCAATGCGCTTAACAACCTCCATGCCAGTGTATATCCGCCCAAAGATGGTGTGTTTGTTGTCCAGCCACTGTGTGGGCGCAAGCGTAATGAAGAACTGAGAACCGTTTGTGTCTGGGCCCGAGTTGGCCATGGACAGAATTCCGGCGCCGGTGTGCTTTAAATCGCTGTGCAGCTCGTCCGCAAACTCGGCACCATAAACGGAATCGCCGCCACGTCCTGTTCCCGTTGGATCGCCACCCTGTATCATAAAGTCGCGAATAATGCGATGGAATACCACGTTGTTGTAGTAACCACGTCGGGACAACTCCGCAAAGTTATAACACTGAAATCATATGATAAGCTATATTATATCAACGAAATGAGGCTCCATTTTCTGTACGTACTGTGTTTGGTGCATGTTTCCAATACAATTCCACGGTTATTTCGCCCATGCTGAATACAAAATAAATTTACTAATAATTTGTCCGGCTGTTTACAAATACTCACGTTGTTTCCAGCGTCACGAAATGCGGCTGCCACGCTTTATCGGGCACACTTCCAGCTGCAGGATTTACCAACATTATTAACAATTGATTAAAATTGTATTGTATATTTATATTGTAAAAAAGAAGACGACAAACTATTTGTTATTTTGGTGCTACAGCTCTCTTGTGTTTGTGGCGGCAGGTTAATAAATTATCGATTGTTAGCCTTCGATAAATCAGTCGATAATTTATTCCGCGGGAATTGGGAAATTAAATCCGTAATCGTTTTTATTCAACGAAATCAATTTATGCCGTCGCAATGTAGTTTTTTTTATTTATTTCGATCGTGCTTAAAATCACATAGTATCACAATTCCAAAACTTGTATATGCTTTTTAGCGGTTTTGGCGTGAATTGACAATCCATTTTATTTCACACACCCATTAACTTTTTAAGCATTAAATAAACTTTTCTGTGACATTGTCTGTCATGCGAGAAATACAAATTATGCAATTTTCTTTATAGTTTGGGGGTCAACAAGTTTTATGCGGAGATGAATGGGCCCCAAAGTCACTGTAATGACGAATATGTTGCAACTGAGCGCTTGAGTGTCGCATTTCTCTCTAAGCATAGTACGGCAACAGATTAACTAAAATAATCCCCTGTGTGTGGATTTGGTGTGTTGTCCGAAACCTCAATTGCCCCACAATTGACAATTGAGCGAAATTGGATTGAATCACAGAGCCCAGCGTTTGCCGACTAGCGCCCACTATAACAAATGGAACCCACTGATTCAGTGAATCACAGATGTAAACGCAACGCGACTTAGTACACATCGTCATTGAGAGATCTCGAAGCTCGGGTTGGATCACGGAGATCGCTTTAGCGAAATGCATAATATTGAACAGATTCTACGAGAGCTGCAGCGTTTTTCATGGCCCGACTATGTCGCATTTGTGGCCATGTTTCTCCTCTGCATTGGCATTGGCATCTACTTTGGATTCATGAAGAGATCCGTCTCCGAGGATGATTACATGTTGGGTGGCCGCAAAATGTTAGTGGTGCCCATCGCCTTCTCACTGGTGGCCAGCTTCATTTCGGGCATCACGTTGCTGGGTCTACCCACCGAAGTGTATTCGTATGGCATACAGTATCTGTATGTGGCCCTCGGAGTCCTCGGCATGGTCTTTGTGATGGGTGTCTTTTATTTGCCAGTGTTTCATGATCTAAATATTACGTCCACTTATGAGGTAAGCAGAATAAATTGGTATTCGGTTAAAGAAAACGAAAATAGAAGAAACGTTAAAAAAGATATAATTTTTTAAATAAATAAATAAATAAATTTTTGGCAAAACAATTGTCTATTTACGTTTCTAGTATAATGAACAAAACCTAAATTTATTTCGACAATTTAAGAAATTGCTTTACCCACCCACCAGTGATAAATGTAAATTTTAGATACAGAATTTCAATACCATAACAAATATTTTATGTATTTACTATTGGAATTAAAAATTGTACAACATTATTATTGTTTTTAAATGTTTAAAAAAAATTATTGAATAAATTTGACCCAAACAAAAGAATAATAATATAAAAAATTCTCTTTTCTTACAGTATTTGGAACTACGCTTTGATCGTCGTCTGCGTCTATTCGGGTCCGTAATGTTTTCCATAATGAATGTGAGTTATCGAAAAACCCCTCTAAACGAACCAATCCTCATTCTCATTGTAACCCAGATAGCCTATCTGCCCATTGTGATCTACGTGCCGGCGCTTGCCTTCAATCAGGTAACCGGAGTAGGAGTCCACACCATCACTCCCATAGTGTGCATAATATGCGTGTTTTACACCAGCATGGGTGGCCTCAAGGCCGTCGTCTGGACCGATGTGGTGCAGGCGGTGTCCATGTTGGGTGCTCTCGCACTGGTTGCCATCAAAGGAAGCATGGATATAGGCGGCGCCAGTGTCGTAATAGAGCGTGCCTGGAACTCAAATAGAATTGAGGCACCTGAGTAAGATTAAATTAATGACAAAATACTTCCAATTAAAAAAAAAATCATTTATTTATAGTCTCAGCATTGATCCCACAGTACGTCATACATTTTGGTGTTTGTTCGTTGGTGGCATTTTCTACTGGACTCAGACCAATGCAGTTTCCCAGAATATGATACAGCGCTATCTATCATTGCCTACTTTGGCAGATGCTCGTAAGGCATTATTCATATTTTGTGCAGGAGTTCTAATCCTGATGGCCCTGAGCGGATACAACGGACTACTTATCTATGCCACATATCAAAACTGTGATCCGCTTACGACCAAGGCAAGTTAATGTAGTTTCGACCATATCTTTGATGCATTCATTTATCCGTATCCATAGCTGGCCAAGGCTCGGGATCAGCTTTTGCCGCTCTTCGTCATGGACACGCTGGGTGAGATACCGGGCATGACCGGTCTATTTATTGCGGGCGTGTTTAGTGCTGCTCTTAGCTCTCTGTCCACTTGCCTGAACTCCATGTCGGCTGTAGTACTGGAGGACTTTGTGAAACCATATGTCAAGCAACCACTTTCGAATTTCACCACAACTTGGATCATGCGTAGTGTGGTATTGGGTATTGGTATACTTTGTGTGGCTCTAGTCTATGTGGTTCAGCATATGGGCACTGTGCTCCAACTGACCATGAGTCTGGAGTCAATAACAAATGGTCCGCTGTTTGGCATCTTTACATTGGGAATATTCATGCCCTGGATCAATGGCAATGTAAGTGGAACCTTAAACATTATTAAAATACTAAATGTTATCAATTTACTAGAGTGCATTGCTGGGCGGCTGTGTGGGCGCCATTGTTATGTTTTGGGTTAGTCTGAATGCACAGTGGGCAATTGCTTCGGGCGCCATTCGTTACCAGACTAAGCCATTAAACGTTGAGCAATGCAGCTACAGTTTTGATGCAGCTGCTTTAGTGAGCAGTTCCATTAATGCCACTCATTTAAGTGGACCCTCGGTGGAGTAAGTACAGCCACTTAATTTTTGTAATCTAATTTATCTTATATACACAATTCTAATTGACTGACCTACTGATTAGTAATGACTGCAAACTTTTGAGCTAATTAATTAAATTCAGGTATCCATATATCCATAGGAAGCTTTTGTGTGCGTAATTCGTTTTCTAAGATGTTAATATTTTTGGGATGCAATTTAAGTGTTTTCATCTGGTACTTACTTTTGATAAGCTATACTTTTGTGAAGTCAAAATATTAATGAAAAAAGTTGATTGAAACTTGTGCGATTTGATCTGGTGGATTTCAAACTATTTTGCAAAGATCCATGGGAAAATTCATGGGAGTCTTATTTTAGCGTTTACGGGAAGTCCATCCGACAGACTAAACATTACATCTCCTAACTCTGCATTAAAAAAAACCTCGCCACTGATCCCAACTAATTTGTAACGAGACCTTCTATTATTCGTTGTCTTTCTTAGGGACGTATTTCCATTGTACCGCATCTCCTACATGTGGTACACCGCCTTGGGCGCAATGGTTACAATAATCGTTGCACTGCTCAGCGCTTTCATCTTTGGCACTAATAATCCCAACCAAATTGATCCAGCACTGCTCACACCTTGTATTCGCAAGTTTTATAAGTTTGAATCTCACAAGCCAACGGTAAGTATAAAATCCTTCCAGAACATTATGTATGCATTACAGTTGTCTGCCAAATATTTTAGGACGCTTATAAGGTCGACATTCCGCTGCCGCATAAGCTACGCATTGACGAGGTGGCTCTTTAATTAGTCGTAATTTTAATTGAATACACACATTGTTAATAAACACAACTAAAATATATACCTTGGAAAATGGAGTGTCCAATTTATTTTAACATGAAATCTGAAAAGTTGTCTACTAAGTAGCTCTAAGTTAGAATTAATTATTTGTTTTGTTTTAAGCAAATAATTGTAATTGTTAAAGGGTTAAGTTAGAGGGCTGCTCCAAATTAAATCCAGTGACTTTACAATATGGTTTGTTTATTAAGGTAAGTAATTAATTTCAGTCGTCAAATTAGAGCTAAAAATGCAATGCAATATATAATTATATTTAAATCAGAAAAATCCGCTATGCAGTCAAACGTTACCACTGGTCTCCAAAAGTGTAGCGTTGGCTCCCCGTGCAGTCACTCGAATCCCTAAATTTTGCTGTACTGGTTAGCTGGCGCCAATTTATAATTCAGCTCTTTCAATCTGCATTTATTTAATAAATACCAAACGTTACCAAAGTATAACTCTGTCACAAAATGTGTAATGCTTGCTGAAAAGCATTTCCAACTCCATGAATTGTACACTATAATTATTTTGGCTTATACAATAATTGATAACACATTTTGTAAAGGAAAACAATTTTTTAATCAACGCATATTTTATACTAAAACTGATGATACTTCCAATAAAATACTATATTGCAAATTATTGAAATTCTTTGCAACTATTATAAAGGTTTTCATTTATTAAATGCTTGATAACAATTAATTACATACGATTAACACAATATAATGGGGTGTGAGATTTTAGATGAAGTCTGTGATTGATGATTGTGCTGTCAATTATTACTTCTGTTGCACCTTGGACAGCAGAACAAGGCGCTCGGATTCATTAAGATGTTCGTAAAACGTTGCGAAGTGTTCGTTTTGAGTAAAGTTGGTGAGGAACTTCTGCAGATTCTCGCCAATATCGCCCGAGTAATTGGACTCCTTTAGCAGCACCTGAAGTACCTGTTCATCCTCAGCATTGTACTCATCATAATCGAAGCACAAATCAGAAATGAAGTGTGGCTTGGACGCAGTGCCTGCAGCATCATCCTCCTCGGTGACCTCGTCCTCGGAGTCCGTAAGCGGCGCATCCGTTTTGCTCTCCTGAAAGTGCTGATATTCGGAAATCAGCACTTTAAAGATTTTCACAAGTGCGGGAATTGTCACCCATTTCTGATACGTGGCGGCTACTGAGCGTGTGCGAATGCGATCGCCGCTGGGCTCCTCTACCAGTTCTTTGTAAGTTATGGATGTCAGGCGATTATCCTGCGTGGCCACGCCGTACTCGAAGAGCTTGCAAAGGGCCATCGTTGTGACCTGAGAGTGCGTCATAAGAAAAAATCATTAAATAATGAGTAACTAGGATGAATTACTATAATACACTAACTTTGCGTTCATAGGCACCGAAAAAGGAGTTGTGACGCGACAGCCAATTGGTCAAAACAAACTGCAAGGCAGGTTCGCCGTTGGGTCCAGGCACCGTAGAGAGAAAGTTGAGTACCGCGTCCATTTGGGTGAGGAACAGATGGGCAAATATCAGCACCAAATTCATGATGACCTTCAGGCACTCGAGGTTTTGCATTTTACTAATAACTGCTTTGAGCAGCATGTCAACCGATTGGCCCAGCATACTGCCCATTTTGGTGATAATGGTGATGACCAGATGTCCAATTTGTCCACCGGCCGTCATTTCGGCATTCATTGGATTTAACAGCACGGTAGCCACTTGCATTACATAGTTGACCCCCTCGCCATTCTTATAGTTACAGATCTGCTCCGGCGATACGTTTATGAAGCTGCGAAGGCACTCCCCACCGGCGACCATAACGGTATGATCGTCCGTGTGTAGAACGCAGTTGATCATGGCGGGAAATGCAGTTTCCAGCAGGGCACTCGGTAGTGGCGGTTCTGTGTACCGGACAATTGTGTTGAGCACGTCCAAAGCAATGTCCTGTTTCTCACCGTATTGCTCACCCTGCAGCGCAAGTATGCTAACAATGGTGGGTATGAATTTCTCTTGGAGCGGGCCAAGGCACTGTTTGCGCTGGCAGAGCGCCCTAATCAGATCCTGCACGTTCATCAGCACAAACGGATCCTCGGCGTATTTAAGGAAAGCCGCAATTGTGAGTGGCGTGATCCTTGAGTGAGCTGCGTATGCAAAGTCCGCATCGAACTTGACCATCATTGTGAGCGCTTCCATTAATAATGCAAGCACAGTTGCCTTGCTGCCCGGAACGAGCGTCATGATGCCATCTAGAAAGCCGGGCAGCTTGGACACAAGCAGCGTTCGCTTCTCACCCTCCACATTTTCGTTGGCCTGCAGAAAGCCGTGCAAGGTGCGAACGGCGCTGATGCGCAGAATGTGCGACTTGTCCGGCGACAGGCTGCACAGTGTTACATCCAGAATCTCGACTAACATCTGCGGATTGTACAAATCCGATTTGGAGTACGTGCTTAGGGTCCAGAGTGCACGGCCGACTAGATGCGGCGATTCCTGATGCACTAGCAGATTGCGCACAATCGTCAGGTAGTTGAGCAAGTCAAACTTGGAGTCACCCTCGAGAATGATGTCGCGAAAACCATGAACAGCATCCATGCAAGCCTCATGAATCTTCCACCAATTGGGATTGTTTGCGGCCTTCTCGGCCTCGGCCACGCTGAAGTGCCGGCCCAGCGCCTCCTGCAGCGGTTGAATGGCCTTCTCATTAAACTCGTCATTAATGGCCTGCATTTAAAAATATATCAATTGATTTCGATCAGCAATGTAAAATTAAGTGCTGTATTATGAAATTGAACATTCGTTCGACTTACAAGCAGCACATCACGGCCACACATGCGTACAGTTAGCTCGACGCCGCCATCGTCTTCGTCGTCGACGAACTTCTCTGGATCGTCTTGCCAGTCCTCCAGCTGCTCCTCACTTAGCTGTATGTATACAATGGTAATGTAGATCAAATCCGCGAGCACATTTTTTATGTTGCCGCGCAGCTTGCCGCAGGTGACAATGCAGTTGATGAACTCAAGAATCTGTATGATGAGCGTTTGAAAGTTGGTCTGCTCGTCATCTTCTTCGTTATCGCCACTAGCCAGAGGATTTGGCTCGGTCTGATTCACGGATACCTTAACGTAGGTTTCGGCAATTTGTGTGAGCAGCTGCCAAATAATAGGCAATATACGTTCCATGAAGGGATTTATGTACTTTGGCATTTCGGTAACCAGATAAGTGAAAACTGCAAATTAAAACGAAACTAATATAATATTGCAATGTTTATAAATTAATATATGACATACCTTTAATTATTTCAGAGCGCAGTAGAAAACTGGAGCCAGCGCCGCAATTCATGCTCAGATAATGCACCAGCTTGTCCATAAAGTTAGACAGTATGGAACTCATCATGGAGCTTTGCTCCTGTTTATCTGTGATCAGCGCCGATATGGACATGAATAGCTGCTTCAGGGTGCGAATAGCGGAGACACGCGTCTTAATTGAGTAGTTCTGCTCCGAGTCGAAAATGCGATACACCTCGGGTATGACAACCGGACCCAGATCTTTGATCTGATCCACATCGTATGTGAAATCTTGTAGAACTTGCATAGCACCATGTATAGAATCCTCATTGCCGCCCAGACACTTGACAATAATGTCAAACAACTCCGACCAGCACTGCGGATAATCGGTGGCCGCTATTGTTGAGATGGTGTGCGCCACCGAGGAGCGTATCTTTGAGTTGGGATCGTATAGTCCATTCGGCAATATGTTACGTATCGTGCGTTTCGCCGGTTCGCTGGCCATGCCACCACTGCTTGCCTTGTTGTCAGTCTCACCGACATCCGTCCAGTGGTTCTCCACATATCGCGTCAGCATAATTATGGCAATTTGTCGCAGTGGCAGTTCGTGCGACTGATTCATTATAATCTCCGCCAAGTAGACGCCATAGCCTGAAATTCGGAGCTGTTAACTACAAGTTGACAACGCCCGGCATTGCCCGCTCATTTGCCGCGCTCCGCCCTACCTTCTGTGTATTGCAGCTGCTTGTTTCGCTTTTCCGCCTGTTGCAAAACGGTTGTGTCCGAGCTGAGCAGATTTTGCAGCTCTTCGACAATTGCCTGCTTTACGGAATCACCACCACCGCGCACGACCCCGACGCCACTTTCTCCGTTCGACATGACAAATATGCCAAATTAAATACAAAAATTAAATATATAAAAATAATATATAAAATTAAAAACTTGTCAGATGTTTGCCGCAGCAGAGCGTAGCACATGTAAATTGCTGTGCGTTCTGTTCAAACTTATTAATTGCTGTTGACCAACACTGTTGTGTGTAGTGATGAACTGTGATAATTAGCAATTTTTAATTCGAAATACTTTCTCATTTATTAAAACTATTTTTTTTAACTGTTAATGATTTGTTTATTTAGTTTATTTAAACTGTACGCAGACTTATATAGTAAATTATACACATAGTAAATTCTAAATAAAACAATAAATAAAAAACTAACTAAAAAATACTTGCCACAACAAGTATGTCAAGTCGCTGCTCAACACTACTTTTATTACCATCGTCTTTGCTCTGCTGCTGCCGCCCTGTAGACCTGCTGTAAATTTATTACAATTTATAAGAATAAATAGCAAATAAAAGCACAATGACGAGCATCATGGACACAGTAGAAATGCCAAAATTGCCGGAAAATCAAAAAACCTTCGCCGGCATACCAGAAGCAATATTTCTAGTGAGTATCAAATGGCAAGCGTCCAATTCTAACCTAGACGGGGCTGCAGACAAAAAAGAGAGGAAAAAACAGCTGTAGAAAATATTCAATATTAATCATCGCTCGTGTTGTGCTTGCAGGAGGAAATTGATACGTTTATGACACAACCAGAGAACGAGAACTGTGAAAAGGTGTTGCAACGTCTGGACGAGCAGCATAGCAAGTACCGGTTTATGGCCACCAATTTGGAGGCGCGTCGTCGCAAGTTGAAATCCCAGATACCCGATCTGGAGCGATCCCTGGAGATGGTGAATGTGCTGCGCAAGGAAGATGAGGAGCGTGAAACGCAATTCCTGCTCAGCGATCAGGTGTTCATCAAGACGCTGGTGCCACCCACGAAAACGGTTTACCTTTGGCTGGGCGCCAGCGTAATGCTGGAATATCCATTGGATGAGGCAGAGGCGCTGTTAAAGCAAAACGTTACATCTGCTGTGGGCAATCTGAAGTCAGTGGAGCATGATCAGGACTTTCTCAGGTGCGCTTATTGGACTCGGTTGCACTCCTTGCTAATACCTCTAATGTATATCCTCCACTTCCACAGAGACCAGATAACCACAACTGAGGTAAACATGGCGCGGGTCTACAATTGGGGCGTCAAGAAGCGACAGGCTGCTGCCAAAACTAATATTGCCAGTAGTACGCCCTCCTAGGTAGCTTTTTCATAGTTTAAAACTAAGCAAGAACAACAGTACGTTGGTACACACAAAGAAAATCGGGTGTTGTCCATTATACATTATTTATTTGAAGAGTAAACATAATACTTGTTTTTGAATTCTGATGCCCGATAAATTTACACATACTTAAAAACAATAACACACAGTTCGCAGTGCTTTCAAAATTAAAATTAACATAAAAAAAGACGAAAAGACGCCAATTGCATTTTTTTACTTGTTTTATTCTTGTTCTCGATAATAATAAATATGAAATACATACAATGCAGAACTTGGGCTTTTCAGATATTCCTCCTTATGAATTGTTATGTAAATACGTATGAAGGCCAAAGATGCCTTGGACAAAGACGTACATTTTCTGAGCATATGCCATAACAGTTGCATGAAAGGTTTGGCTTGCATTTCCGATCAGCGCCATCGCAATGTTCGCCGGCTTTCGAATAGCAAAAGTATCGATGACCACATCTTGAAATGGATGAGTAGAAGTTGTTTACGCATCCTTCCGGCAAGGTCTCTGAACCAAGACAAGGCGGAAAAGGAATGTCGCTACAACAAGACACTTAGTCTAGATGTCTAAACTGGAAGTTTAACTACTTACATAGCACCACATTGCTGAAACATCAAAAGGATTAGTGTACAGAATAGAACCACTCTGACTGGATGCAATTTAAGTTGATGATGCATAATTAGTTCAGGGAATCGATCTTTTATCTATGGGCATTCCCTACTATTCAACTGCATTGATGCATTTAATAGTAAACACTGACCAGATTTTGTTTAGTTCTAAGTACATAAATAAAAAATGCGTGCGCAAAAGGGCAAGCTGAGGATTCACTGAGTCAGCTAAATATTACCTTAGCTGATTATAGTGCTGGGTAAATTTAAATCAGGTATGTTTTTTGTGTACCTAATTAACCCATACACGTGACAGGGTTATCTACAATTCACTTGCACAACAAAACTTGTCAGTGTCATTAATTTACATTTATTTTGAATTGATTTTAAACAATGTAACAAATTTAAGCATCTAATCAAACAAATTACTTTACCCTCTGTCTATTCCCATTTCATAGCTTGGTGTACATAATCGCCATCTGGGCTCACATAATTCTTGATAGGGGGCGTTGCAACTGGCCCTTTCACCGATACTGGCAGCAGTTTCATGTCCACTTCTATGGCCGCTTGATAAAGTTCCTCAGACTCACGACGAAGCTCTTCGAGTGCTTTATTTTGGGACTGCACCAAACGATCAATGATTTGGAAATCCGCAACCTTTTCATCGTGCTTGTAACGCGCCCATTCTTTTTTAAGAAGTGCACGCTGCTCCAGCTCCGCAGTTCCCAGAGGTGTAAGCTTTCGTTCCCGTTTCCTATACAAAGTTGAACATAAAATAAATCTGCAAAATGTGCGGCAAAAACAACCCCGGCAAACTTACGCCTTGTTGTCAATTAAGTCCAAGGGCACTTCCAGCTCCTCCACCGGCTTCAATTGGCGCGCATTCTTCTCTAGCCTGCGTATCTGCTTCTCGATTTTCTTTTTCCTGCGGTCCTCTCTCTGTTTTACGACCTGTGGGTCAAGTTTCTTTTTTTTCTTAAGCGGCTCAGCGCACAGCACTGGCGATATGTGCAGGAATCGTGTGGCAACAGGGCTGCTCTGTAGGCTCAACCTAATGGTGAATGAAAGCCGTTTTTATATTGGCAGAAGTCTATGATTGCGGAATATGCTGCAGCAATTACCTGGACAGTGCGTTGAGCAGTGACATTTTCAGTAAACAATTGAGGTAAAACCAAAGCACTGTTTGCGTAATGTGCTGCTTCTTCCCGTAGTAGGTGCTATCGAGTATGTTGACTCGCCTATCGATTTCTAAACATATGTTCAGAGCTGTACCGCATGGCAACGCTGTAGTGTTGCCACACAGGTGAACTCAAATCGATAAAATAACAGTGTTTAACTTTGCCAGACGTGTATCATATTTGTTCTGTCTACTTTATCTTTCATAAACTGCCTTAGACATAATACAAGTTATTACCGTTGTAATACATTAATTCCACAAATAATTAACAATACACTTTCCAAAATTTTTTAAAGAAAATATTTTCTGTTTTCGCTCCCACCACAATTGCAAAGAAAACCATTTTTAATTTTTACTATTTTTATACGATTTTAAAACTTTATTTTTAAAGATGAAAATAAACAATATACTTTTATTATGTGTTTTTTTTTTGTTGTTTTAGTAAATTTTACATAATTTTCAATAAAATAAGTAGGTTTTTTTTTTTTTTTTGATTAAAAATGTTATATTATAGTTTAGTGTTTGGTTGTTCTTTTACCATTTCTTTCCCTTCACGCATTTATTTGTTTTTAATTTTTCTTACAGTTGCTGCATAAATATAAATTTATGTGATCATATTTGCTTATATCCCAAATATTTAATTTTCTCTTACACTTTTTGTTAATGCTGCGTTACGATCTATGGTGTAATGTAATTTTTTTATTTTATTATTTTTATTTTCATATTGTTTTCTTCAGATGTTGTCTCGAAATGCAAATTATATGTATCGAATTTCGTTTTACGAGAAAATGACAAATTTTGTGCGAGTTTGTATGTTTCTTGCTGCCATACGGTCCAGACAAACATTTTCGAAAATTCCAAAATGTAAACCAAATGTAAAAAGTAAGTAATTATAAAACGGAACCGATACCGAAACCGAAACGTACAAATATGTATGTATATATGTTTTGTATGTCTATTTTGCTGTGAATACATACATTTGTATGTTTGGTTGGCTTATTATTTCTGATTTGTTTTTTTTCCTTTTGAAATGAGTTAATCATATAAAGTTAGTATATGTCTTATACGCAATCATCGTGGATTGTGAAACTTTCGATTTCTGTGTATGTTTGCATTTTGCGTATTACATTCATATAGTATTTTTATATGTTTACTGTGGTAAATAGTAATGTGTGTATTTCTGCTTTTTGGGGGTCTCGTAAAGGGTTATGCTCATCTATTGTTATTACATATACTTATAATTTAAATTGTATGCCATCTTTTCAGTTCTCACACTGATGTCTTTCTTTCCATATAGTGTTCAAAGTATAGTTTTACATATGTATGTACGTTAATTTTGTTCTCATTACTTGAGTGAGTGAATCCATTTGGAATGATGTTCTGAATTGAAGAAAACAAAGATTACAAACATTGTGTCTTAAATTCTGTCAAGTTGGAATTTCGAAAAAAAACATTATAAGTGCCAGGCTCGGTAGCTTTATTGGCCTTCAATATCGCTTAGTAATTAAAATATATATAAATAATTGTGTGTTTAAGTTAAAATTATAATAAAATCGTATATGCATTTGAGGGACTTTAATTATATATTTTAATGGCGCTCTAAATCATCTCTTTTTATATTCGAAATCGGGTTAGTTTTGAAGCCCTCAGATCGTTTGTGTTTTGGTTTTTTTGCTAATTATTTTTTCGCGAGCGCCCTTTTTGCCGCTTATTTTATAATTACATTATAAAAGTTATTTCTAAAGTTGTTTGTACTATTTCTTGGAAATAATTCCGGTCTATTGCTGCATAACTCAAAGTATTTCTTTTTAGTTTAGTTTCGTTTTTCTTTTATTATTTTTGTTTTTGGTAAAATCAACTCAAAATAATTTTCGTAGCTTGATTTGGTTTGACTCGGCTCTGGAGTTTTTACAATTTTCACTCTTGCATCAATCAGTCGAAAACGATGCGATTTTTATGCTTGGCCCAAAAGATTATAAATTTCAATGTCGTAATGTTGCCGAAATGGTTAATACATTTAAAAGGTTCTAAGCAAAACCCTTGCACATTTATTCCTGCTCCTGCTTCCGTTCCATATATGTATGTATGCACGGTACACATATTGATGAAAAGAATAACTTGATGATGTGTGTTTTTTTGTTGCTTTTTTGTTTGTTATGTTTTTGTATTTATGTTCAGCTCCGAAATCGTAATTCGTAATCGATAAATGAATATTCATACATACTTATATACATAGTGTGTGCATCTAAACACTTTTTAAATTAATGCATATTCATAAATTAATGTTAATGTTCGTAAATTGTAAATTTTAAATTTTGCTAATTTTCGCTAGTTGTTTTTCTTCAAAATGTTTCGAAGTATGTAAAACTCACAACTCAATACTCTAAACTGAATAATGCAAATATATGTTCATTTCATTTTTTGTTTTTATCTGTTTGTTGGTGTCAGTGTTGGTGTGTGTGTGTTTGTGTGTGAGGGGGGAAAGAAGCACAAAAGGGACACTCGTATTTACTTTGTTTCCTTTTAGTCTTTTAGTTTTGTATACGCCTGCGTTCACTGTGAACTGCTTGCTATTCACAATGTACGATAATAGCCTCTATCTCCTATTTGAATAGATGCCTCGTGTGCACATGCAAATATTAAATGTTTTCACTTTTTATTTTTTCATATTTTATTTTTTTCATTTTCTTTTCTTTTTTTTTTTTTTGTATCGGTAGTTGAGTTTAGCTTAAATTTAGTTGCATTATAGCTTATTGCCGCCTCTTAAGTATGCCGTTCTTAGTTGTCATGCAATCGTTTAGCTTAACTTTCGAGTTTAATATGTATGTATTTTATTTCCACCTAAGATCTAAACTAAATATAGTGTATTGTATGTGTCGTGTATGTATATATGTGTGTGTGTGTGTTGTGTGTCTGTGTATGAGATAGAAAGTAATACATTTATCAATGAGCAACTCAGCGCAATATGGTAGGTATGTATATGCCTCGTAAGTAGTCAATGTATATCCAAACCTTTTCGTTCCTAAATTCTAAATCATTAATTTCATACATAATGTTTGTCTAAATCGACGTTTTTTTTTTGTGTGTGTGTTCATTTTTGTTGTTGTTTACATACTATAACTAAATACACGTATATGTTATGTATGTATTTCGTTTACTAAGGTAGTCAAGGACAACTTTGTTTTAATTGTGGGATTCGGGTAAGTGATATTTAAGATTTGCGCTCGTTTCCTTTGTTCATTAACATTGGATACATAATTTAGTTGTTGTTTAACATAGGGTTCTACTGTGGGTGATCGTGATCCCAAAAGACAGACAGAATACGGCCAGACCAAATGTTGAGCAGTTTTGGTATTTGCTTGAATGCTGGTCTATTTGGAGCCCTTTTTCATTTCTTTTTTTTTTTGCTTATTTTTTTAAATTTGTTATTTCTTTTTACAATTTTTAATTTTTTATACAATTTTATTAATAATTTCATTTTGTTTTTTTTTGTTTGTTCATTTTTTGTTTGTTTTTAGTTACATAACAAATTAACAGTTTTTTTTTTTGGTTTTTTCTTTTTGTTACATGAAGGCACTTTAGATCGGACGTTGTGGCCCCATTTCAAAAATTGTTTTTAACTTTTGCTTAACTCGTTATCACTTTGATTTCTGTTCTTGTTGATTTGATGTTTGGTGCATGTGCGTGGAGACGTAGTCGCAAATTAACAAATTAACAACAAAAGCGTAAGTAATCCAAAGTTGTTCGAAACTCGCCGAAAGATACGTTCGAAATGTTACCGAAAAATCTTTGATTCGAAACTTTAACTTTACCCATGTCTTTTGCTCTGCTTCTGCATCTGCATCTACTATATATGAATAGATTTTGTTGCCCTTTACCATTTTTGTATTTTTGAATTTCTTGTATTGCCTTCTGTGCTATTGTACAAAACGGTCATGGATGTCCAGATATGCAGGCAGCCCAACCCATCGGTTCCTCTTCGGGCTACTGCCATGCAGTTTGGTTTTATTTCAGGCTTGAGAACTGTCAACGCTTTTGGTCTGGCACACAAATAAATAATTTATGTATGTAACTGTTTATTATATCTGTTTTTCTTGTGCTTTAGAAAATATGTAAAATTATCATTTATTGTTTAAGTTGTTATTGGCATCCTGTAACGGAAATAACAAAGAAAATTGCCGATGAAGATTTTATACCAACTGAAAACCGGTTCGATTAAATAATCAATAAATTGAACGAAGCTTTTAGAGCGCAAATCTTAGGTTATCACAAATCTGATCAACTGAATTGGGTTTACTTTATATTCATTCATCATATATTACATATGTCTAGTGGGATATACATACGTGTTTTATTAGAACTAATTATTAGGGACTGAATTTCGAGATTCGATTTCTTTCATTTTCTTGTCTACAATTTTTACATACACTTCTTAATTTCTTATTAATTTTTTTTTGCCTCACCAACATCTAACTTAAGTACTGTCCATGTTTTTTTTATACATCTAAACATTTACAAAGGGTTTGATAACACAAAATCTTTAGAATTTTACAATTTCGTTTTATATATATATTTTTTTTTTGCTTTGGTTTTTATTTGGGCATAATAAAGTAGAGAAAACCTTTTGCTATTTTTGTGGTTCTGGGTTTTGATTCTGCAATTGTTTGTTGCTGTTCTTCTGAGCTTCAAACCGCAAGTTTTTCGATTCATAATTTTGTTGAATTTTTAATTTGTATTAATTTTTGAATTTTGAAATCTGCAGCGCCTTTTGACGCCGATTTTGAATTTTGCTGTTTTATTTCATTTTTTATTTTGTTTTCTGTTTTTGTATTTTTATTTTCAATTTGCTGCTGTTCGAGTCATGGGCAAACACATTTTTGAGCAGGGTACGCTCAATTTGTGCGTTGCCTGAGAATTTGTTGACTTGTCATGTTTATTTTTATAATTTAAGGCAGATTTTCCACGAAATTAAAATGGATTTGAAACAGAAATTAGGAGTTGCTTTTGTGCAAATTTTTTGATGTTAGACTTAAATTAATTCATGCAATAACTACCAGGAGATTTA